TATATGTTTTAAGTGTTATAAAACGTTTCTTTATTTACTTTCCGTAAATTTAATAACACGTACAATGCTGATCAAGAAGTTATTTAATTATTTTCACTACATGCCGTTGCAGAGTACGGGTTGAAGCAATTGTACAATAATACTAATTTACTTTCTTTAGCCATAGACTAACCAACACAAGAGTGTATGTTTTATCTATGCTTTAGGCTACTTAAGTATATCTCCATCTATATGGACCAGCTATAATATCCAAATCCAATATTATACCCGAATTAGGACATAGACGAATGCGAATGAGCCAATCACAGGGAGCGTTGCTGGAAATCGATTTTATCATCCAGTTTTGACACTTTATATATGTGTATTGATAGTTGTTCTGGCGTAACATTTATGATACAGTTTACGATAGTCATTCCTTCAATTCGGCTTGGTTAAAAAGTGCGCTTATTTGACATGAACCAGTAGGCCTACAGTAATTTCAGAGCGCTCTGTCCACGGATCAATTTTAACGTCCATTTTCATCCTAAATCCCAAATTCGTCCACTGGCTCGGGTCTACAACTTGAATTTCACAATTTGTGAATATATTGTCTTATTTCACGGACAGTCAAAATAAAACCTAAAAAACTCTAAAATACCCCCGCCGCAGCAAACCTGCAGACTAAGCGAATTTCCATTTGACTGATTGGATTTACACTGAAATGTCTACTTAAAAATATAACATTTATTCTTGATTTAAATAGAATTAGTTTAACAAGTACTTAGGTTTGCTGCATCAGGGAGGGTAAAACTGTTTTTTTTTTAATTTGAATAGTTTCGTAAGAAATAAAAACATTTTCCAAATTTGATCAAAATATGTTCACAAACAAGCAAACTACAACAGTTTACTTATTCTCCATAAGAATAACATGGGAATTTTAAATTTACAATTTTATTGAATTTTCTCCGTAACAATTAGGCGCATAATAACGCTTCAATATACTAAGTTATTTGTTTTTTTAAGCTCTACAAAATGGTTTGGAAAGAAATTGCTAAATTTTATGTTTTTTGGGTCAAAAATGGGAAAAACCTATTTTTACCCCATAAAACCCCCCGTAAACCCCCGTTCCCATGGTCCGATCATGCTGGATCGCGAACTCGTTCGAATAAACGTACGTTTACACGTTTGTACCAAATTTCATCAAAATCGGATCATTTTTGCTCGAGTTATCGTGCTGACGGACACACATATATATATATATATATATATAAATATATATATATATGAATTTGAACGGATGGTGTTTTTGGCCTCTAGGGACCTCAAAACGAAAAAAAAAAATCGGTCCCGCGTCCAGGTCTTACCATGAGTACTACGGTAATAGCTTATTCCCTATATGGGAAATTCGCTAAAAGCAGTAATCTCCCCTAAAATAATCAATGGCGATCTCTGAGCAGCGAACGACCAAATGCCATGTTGTAGGTTGGCACACGACAGTTCGTTGTACAAACATGGCCACTTGCGTTGACACAACTGCCAACCTAAACTGTAAACAATGCTTTTGTCGCTGTCATGGACAAGGTTCATTTACCTTAATTGTCTACATGAGAACCTTGGTGGTAACCCTCGTTAATGTCAACTGGACTCAAAACTTGTTACCGAGGCGAGAGTAATTAAGTAAAAGATAAAATCAATAAAATATAAAAAGATAAATTGGCGTAGGTTTCTCCAGTAGAAAAACTTCTCTTCTGAGGATACTATTTTCCAGACAGGTAAAACATAACTTAAGCTCGAGCCATGGCTCGGTATACTTTCGATTGTAAAAGCAATATAAAAGCAACTCTAGCAATAAAGGAACTATAGTTTTAATAAAAAACTTAACAATAAATCTTATTCTGGTAAGAAAAAGCGAACAGAAAAAATCCCATCAGGAGCTACAGCAGATAGTTGAATAATTGATCAAAAATACCAAAAAGTTGTAGGATGTTAGCCCTCTTAATACGAAATACCTAATAATGGAGATATTTCACTGAGACTTGCACCATTCATATAATACTGTATTTTATTCCTACATACACCACTCCCATACAGTAAACACACAGACAAAGCCTGTAAAGCGACAAAGCACAAAGCTTTGTCACAAAGCTAAAATAATTACGTTATATTTATGAGTCGGACTTACTTTAGTTTAGTTTTGAATTTTGATCGATAAGACCATTGTACTAGTAATTTGCCGATCCAACACTGTAGTTAGCTGTAAAGTGTTGGTTGTAGGCTCGTCAATAGGCTCAGACTATGGGCGTCGACCAACCGGATATTGTGCTATTGTATGACTAATGTACTTTGCAACGCAGCAGTTTTACCCATCGATGTACATGGTACATGTACAATATAGATAGACTTTATACATTGATGGCGACGATGACTTTACCTTGGCGTTAGAACACTTTATTGGTTGCAATTGGAATCGAGCGAAATAGCTTGGGATTACTTAGCTCTTTAGATTGTTTAGGCTTGTTTATTCATATCAATAATTTTGAACCTTGAATTAGGTACCATTTTCGAGGACAAGAAAACATTGACATTAGATATCATTTGTTGATAGAATCACGCAATAATGATCACATATAATTGACTTAGATTAGTACAAGAAAGCTCTCTTTAATTACTACAGTATAATAATTATTAAAGTATACAATTTTCACAGTTTTGGCTTTGAATTGATTTTACTTAAAAACCAGTTGAGATAGAAAAGAACGTTAAATACAAAAGTTGTAGATAATTAATTTATGCAATAACGAATTTCCATTATATTTAAGATCCTCGCTTTTGTTCAGCGTACAGAACAAAATTCCTTCCACCATGAGCGTATACATACAGACCAAAATATAAAGGCTTGTCGAATTTCACTAGAAATAGCTTCCCCCCCTAACCCCCCTTAAATTTAGAATTTTGCGAAACACTTTCTTATTGCACATCTACAGTGTATAGAGTAGGCCTAAATCTGCCAAATTTTATAATTATTTTAGGTCGTATATTTTCTGAGATAAAATGATCATCTGTCAGTCAGTGGTATTTGCTTTTCATATCGCCTAATGGCTGACTTCCACAATTATTATTAAAAAATCAGCTGATTAAAATAAAAACTGTTGAAATGTTTTTTCCTTCTGTAAAACTATTAAATAAATAATAAAACTGTTGTCAAAGAATAAAAGCTAGTCTTTGCACTTTTCTAACTTGAATTATCCTCGTATCTAATACTCATCTTAAAGTTGAACTAAAAGTATACAATAGCAATAAATGACTAATCTTCTTTTCCTTTGTTTTCCATATAGTGCATAACGTGTATGTAAACTAATTATCATAAAGGCTGTGGTTTGTGTTTATCTGAGTTTCAAAACATATGTGTTGAAAACTACATTGTTGTTTCATCACGACGAATAATAGACGTAGTCGACGTAGTTAATGATAGTTGAACTCTAAAATAATTTTCCTTTCGAACAATTATTCTACATAAAACAAGTATATTTACCCAGTAAAAACAACTAATCCTGAAAAGACGATCTGATAGCCTTGTGAATATAACTATCAGCGAAGAAATATCAGTCATAATGGTTTGGTACGGCATCTTTGGATTTTTGTTTTCTAGATTAAACTTAGTAATCTTTGTGAACGCGATTTTAAACTCGTATATAAAAGTTTGAGTTAGTCCATATTCGAATAATGTAATCCGTTATAAATGGTACCGTGTCTAGTATAAATATCGATCACCAATAGGCTCAAATCTACACAATTGCATAAAATGAACATTACAACACGAGTGAATTCAGTCTTTGGTTCTTACTGTAGCCACATTTCCCCTTGTTATATGATTTGAAATATGCAATTTTATTGCCAAATTTGCATTGTTTTGACACCCTGCCATTGGTGAACTTCAACTTTATAGTGATGGAAGGCTGTTGATTACCAAATTACAAGCTACCCTGTAGTCTTGGAGTTACAGTACGTACCACGTGTGTGTTTAAAATTGTTCAATAATAGTCGTGTTTATATGAATTAAAAGTTCTATTGATGGTAAAAGTTTGGAATTTAGGGAAATTTATTGTTTATAAACTATTTTTAGAAACGTTGACCTTTTTGATTGTAAACACAATAATTTTACGTTTTTCTTCATGGCAGCTCAACTTCATTGATCAGCTGGATAATGACAGTTTAAATGTTTTCCCCATGGATTGGTTAAAAAAAAATGTTGGCCGATTAATTCACGCAAGTAACTTAGTTCGATCTGATCGAATAGTGAAATGGGTGGCATTGTAGATTTTTTTATTATATTTTTTATGATTAACTCTTCTACTAATCTTTTAATTTTTATATTATTATATTTTTTGTCATTTGGAATTGTAATATAATAATATAGTGTATATTTAGAAGTCATTAGGACTTTTTTGACTGTAGAACCAAAATCGCTAGTTGTATTGTTATTTAATTGATACTTAGTTTCTCTAACGAAAACACATAGGTAGACATTCTAAACCCAGGCTAAAAATAAACGATTATACTTAATAAAATTTCCATGTTATATTCAGTCCCTTCACAGTTGAGTCAGTTCCCAGTTTTGTAATAATTCTGAGGTAGACGTACTATAGGATGGCTTTCTAGAACTGGAAACTTATACTGTAGTACTGTATGTAGATGGCTTTCTCCGCGGTTGCATTCCACTGCAGCAGAAGGCCTACGGGGACGGGGCCCGGTTCTACAGGAAGGTGGAACTAAGGGAGTGAGAGAGAGAGAAAAGTTGGGAGTTGTGAGAGAGGAGTGGGAGAGAGAGGGGGGAGAGAGCGAGTGAGATTGTGAGAGGGAGAGAGCAATCGATTGGTATTCGTCTCTTTCCGTCAAAATTCGTGTTGGTTCGTGGCGTGACGTAGCAGACGACTCGTCCCCGTCCGTCGAGCGAGAGTGAGAGAGAGAGAGAGAGAGAGAGAGGCAAACTGGCAAAGAGGAGAAGAGACCGAGCGACCGAGGCCCGAGACGACAAGTCAAAGAACTACAACCAACCGCGTCCGCATTTTGCCACTTCACTCCAACTGCCTTGCAAAGTGATTGTTAACGTGTAACTTTATACTAACAAATATTGCAAAGTTGTGTCGTAAATTTTATGAGTAAAATTACGCTGTTTTTAAAGCATGCATAGCTGACAAATAAAGTAGGGAACATTTTTAGCTTCAAATGGATATTAGGTAATGAAAGGCGTCAGTTACAACTAAAATGAAGCCGTAATGGCGACCAGACCTTCCTCTGAAATCACAACTTTAGTTTTAGATTTGAGATAGAATAAACTGATTTCATTTGGGTATTTTAAGTACTAGCATATGAATTTTAAGCTAATATTAACTGTAAATTATAGTTAATGTCAATGAAGTTAACCATTTTAAACCTCATTGGTTTTCATTTGAGCAGTGTGTAGTAGGTTATAAAATTCGCATATGCCATCAACTTTAGCCTATCTTTATTATTTAACTTATTCGATAGTTATTTATTTTACAACGTATATGCGCTGATGGTATTTTACTTATTATTTTATATTATTCTCTATTAAATTAACTCATGTATGTACTCTGGCTCTGCCAGGCTGGCAGTCTCTGCCCATACCAACAGGGTTAACATTTTTAACGAATGAGTCATCTTTGTTAGAGCTACTCAGGCATAGAGAAGTCACGTATTTTCTGAGCTGTACTTTTCAAGGTCATCAAAGTGTTAGATATCTAACATATCAATTTAGCTGCAAATTAATATCAATTTATAAATATATTGGAACATACTTTAACTAAACAAAAAACTCCAGCAGGCATATATTAATGGTAAATTTAACTTTTACAAATTGTGGCTAAACTTATACATATTTTGGTGGGGGGGGGGGGGGGGTCATGCTACCGGTGGCTTTAGTTTGAAGTTGTTCAAGTTCAATTAGTTCAAAAACATTTGTTCTGATTAATGGTTAGGATAGGACCATTAATATTTTATTCAAGATACCAAATCCCCCCCCCCAAGAGATTAATTTGACTTATCTTAGGGTGGGCTGTAAAGTTTTCTAGTTCATTAATTGGATTTGAATGTAAAGAACCAAAATAAGTTATTATATAAGTACCTACCCTACTATACAAGGTCTGTATTAGATGGTTAGGCTGTTCAGCAACTCACATGTTAGATAAGAATAATTATGAAAAAATTGTTATTTCTTATATGTAACAAACAAACAAAATAGCCATATTGGAAACTAGGATTCAGAACAGTCCAAAAGGAATTTTTCTTTGGGACTTTTTATCTCTGTTTAGAAAATAAATTGTTGTAAATTTAGTTTGAAAAATGGCAGATATATAAACTTAATCTATTAAAATGCTGAAAGTGTTGGTCCAATAGAAAAATCTGAACCATTTGGAATAATATTCAAAATGACATTAAAATTCAATCATATTTTAATTTTTAAGGATTGTTATAAACAAATTGTGAAATATTTTATAATTTTGTTTAAAAATTTTTCTATTGCCGAGCTGTTTTACAATCCCGAAAAGAACAAAAAGCTAAGCTACCTATCGTACTCAGGCCTGCGGTTTGCAGTATGGGCCCAAGAGATGATTGCGCCCTTCTTGACCTACCTTGTGGGAGAATTTGTCTCTTCTTTGTGACCCCAACAATCCTAAAACCCCTTGCCACCCTGGACCTGGGCCTATTTATTAAAGTGGCCCTGACTCTACTGTGTAAAGTAGCCTACCAACCACCAGCAAGTATAATAAAAAATTTTGTTACAGTGCTGAACTTCTCAATGAAGAAGATATTGAAGATGGAGAGATTTTTGAAGAGGAGGAGCCTGGTGAAGCTAAAAGTTCACCTACACCGATTCCGGCAGAAAAATTGAAGCCTATCGTTCAGCCTGCAGAAGTGGTTTCTCCCGTGATTAAGAAACCAGAAGAGGTTGTCAAGAACCACAAAGTCTTTGAGAATGAAAAACCCCCTCGGGAACAGAATGTTCCGTTCTTCAATAGAGGAAAGAGGAAACACTTTGAAGATGAAGAGGAAAATCGTTGGAAAAGAGATGGAAAGGTAGATTAAGATTTCAATTAGTGAAAATGTTTTACTTTTGAATCACCATGTCGAGCTTTAATTTTGTCCAATTACAACGTTCTCACTGCTATTGATAGAATGTTCGGCTTTTAAATTTTTGCTACTGATGCTGCTAACGTTTTTATTTAAGTGGAATTTTTACCTGGCTTTTAATGTACAATGCCTTTTAATACTCATAGGCAGTCCTTGTCTCAGATGGGTACCAATTGTTGTGTGTTCTCAATACCTACAACTCAATGCGATCAAACTGCTAGGCTAGCCATACTCTTGAGCCAAACGCTATTGTTAATTTAAGGGAAATTGAATCTGAGCCTCCAGGACGGAATGTCTAGCTTTAACAACTAGAATGGTTGTGTCCTGATCCAAACAATTTTAAAAATCAAATTTTGACTTGAATAGGTTTGAACCAAAACCAATTTTAACTGTTATATTTTTTCAACTGGTTCCACAGTTATCCAAAGTAATTTTTCTTGTCAACATACTTATTTTATAATGTTTGTACAGAGGAATCGAAGGAGCCATGACCTGGAGCGGGATGGAGAGATGGGAAAGACTAGGCATGAAGGGGAAGGTGGTGAAGACGACGAAGAAATGATGTTTGTACGAGGAGCTTCACCACACCGAGACGAGGACATGGAGAAGTGCGAGAGAGATGGTAAATTATAAAGTGTACAGATCAATTAATGTCTCCTAGCGGTAGTTACCGTATCACTTATTTAATGCACACAAGACCTAATTTTTACAAAAGTCTCTTAGCCAACTGTCTAACATGTTTTGTTTACACAAAATATTGGGAGATATTATGGAGAAAATGAAAACTGTTGTAGTTTATTTATTTATGGATATATGTTGATAAAATGTGGCAAATTTATTTATTTCATCCTATACTATTGACGAATGGTCAAAAAACAGTTTTTACCTTCCACGTAGCAGCAAACCTAAGTACTCGTTAAATTTAATGATATTCTTTAAATTGGGAATAAAATATTTCTTATTTATGGAAATATTTTAGTAAAAATGTTATTAGACAAGTTGAAATTCGCTTAGTCTGCAGGTTTGCTGTGGCGGGGATACTTTTCAAACTGTAATCATTTAGCCATTTTATATATCCGGTATTTCATTGTGTGACTTAAAGACAAAAAAATCAACATTTAAAAATTTGATAGCTTGTTTTTTGCAGTTTATGTACAACCCACTTTAATTAAGTTAAAAGCACCCTACATATTATTTTGCCTGTAGATTCAATGGCTTAAAAGATTTCACATTTATTTGTCTATTGATGTTTTAGGTGAGGATGATGAAAGAGGAGACATCCCTCGTAGGCCGAGGACCTTCAGAGGGAGAGGGGGAGGGATAAGGAGGGGGGACAGACAAAGAGGTCGTGGAAGGGGTGGTAGAGGAAGTCTTCGAGGTAACCAGAGAAAGAGGGAAGAAATGGAGATGTGTCACTTTTTCCTGCAAGGAAAATGCCATAGAGTATGTACATGTTTTTAACATGCCTAGTTTTATGAGTGTTTACCCTAGAGTACCGATCGGAATTTATGTCTGATCAGGGCCCTTTCTGTTGTGTCATCGGTTACAAAATGACCGATCCATTGTTTTACATAATATATTTAGGCTCATAATCAATAGTTTGACTTCCATTAAGCATATAGGATGTAAAGTTAAAGATGTTGGCTATCCTGCTATCTCCCATAATATTGTTTGTTTGGTTAGCGTAATTGATTTTTTTTTGTTTTCTTTGTCTTCTGACCTAACAATTACCAGTCAGCTGATAATTCATTTTCATTTTTTAATTTAAAAAAAATATTGTAAATATATAACAAACAGTACCGAAAAGTATTAGGATTTCATACAAAACAAATACCATAATACAAAACTTATAATTGTCTTTGTTCTGTTTTAATATATTTATGATTTTATAATTTATCAGTTTGATTATAACATAACGAAACTTCTTCTTGTAACTCATCAAGTAAAGTTTAACAAAACAGGCCTATACCTGACATTTACAAACTATATTGTATTGCACCTGGATGGTTTTTTTGTGGCCAGGAGATAGCAGCTTAGATAGAAGTGCAAATCATGTCTTGGTCAGATCTTGTGTTCAATTCATAAGGAGTTCACCTGTTTGTGGCCGAGCTCCCGTTTATCTAGGTAATTAATTCTTAATTTTTTCTCGGCAGGGTTCAGACTGCCCCTACGCTCATGAGATCCGACCACCACGGAAGACAGAACTCTGCAAGTTCTACATGAAAGATTGCTGTGCCAAAAAAGAAAAGTGTTTGTACATGCACAGCGAATTCCCGTGTAGATTCTATCATACTGGACTCAAATGTTACGCCAAGAAAAAGTGCAAGTTCAGCCATGGACCGCTCACCGACCAGTTGACTAAGATTTTGGCCAACGTAAGAGTATTATTAGTTTGTTTAATATAGGGTTGATGTTGTTCACTTCAATTTTGTAAACTTTCAATATATATTTAAACAACCTTTACCTATCTGTATAACTTTTGTATTTTGTGATTTGATGTGGCCTACTTAATGTTAAATCCTAATTTACTTAGTTATTTTTTGTTTAAAATATTTTAAACAGACAGTTTGGAATTTTAAAAATTATACCCTAGCCTACTGCCTACTGCTTTGTACTTTCAGTTATTTTGAGAGGTAGTATGGCTTATTCATTGAAATATTTAATGCATGAAAATTAAGTGAATTTAATTATTTTTTATGTTAAATCATACAATTGTTTTCCTGAAGTTTTACTGTCCCAATAAAATTATTCATGTCATTTTAAATTAATCAAAAATTCATTCATAAAAAAGTTGAAGTTTGTTCTGTTAAAAGTTCATTTTAAATATCATTCATTTACTGCTTAGGTGTAAATAAAATAATTGAGCCGCATTCATTTTACCATACCTAATTTTCCTTTGAAAAATAAATCAAATAAAACTTTAAACTTATTAGTTTTATTTAATCTTGAACACCAAAATCAAATATTTTCTCCATCAATTTATTAAATTTAAGTAGTGAAAGTGTTCGATTCTTATTAAATGTTTTATTACAGCATCTGGAGTGTGCTCCGAAAGATATCCTGGGAGATTTCCCACGCAGAGACAGAGAGAGGGAAATGCGGGACGGTCGTGGAGACCTGCGGGACATGAGACACGATGGACACGACCCACGGGACCGTGACATGCGGGATATGAGAGACATGAGAGATATGCGAGACATGAGAGATGGAAGAGAAATGAGAGATGGAAGAGAAATGAGAGATGGAAGGGAAATGAGAGATGGAAGAGAAATAAGAGATATGCGAGACATGAGGGACATGCGAGACATACGGGGAGACTTCATGAGAGGAAAGGGGGACAGAGATAGGAAGATACCTTCACTGTTTGACATCAAAGTCACCATTCCAGAAGATATAAGGAACTCAGGTAAATGGATGTTTTATTCTCTTTTTTGTGTTACTAAAAAAACTGAAAGAGAAAAATGCTTAAACAGTTTGCAATGTAATAGGCTGGTGGAACTCCTTTATCAAAAACAAAAACTATAAAATATCAAAAATCATTTTCAAGCAGATAAATAAAGGGTTGTGTTTTTAACATTGTTATATCTGTATCTAGTGTTAATTTATGACATTTTTAGAAGTTATAGAGAATACACAAACAATTTTGGGGAAAGTGGTCCAAACCAAAATGATTTGTGGGTGTGCCTGGAATCGAACCTTGTCCCTCCCGGACCGAAGTCCGAGACACTGTCAACCACTTGGTGTTGACGCTAGCAACACAACCATGTTTTATATGTCTTTTTGGGCTTGTAAAAAATATTATTTTGTTTAATGTATAGATCAGGTAAACTATAGTTGTAAGCAGGGTGCACATGTATATGAGAACCCCTTTTCAACGACCATTGCTTTTGTTTTTTTGTCCAGTCATCTCGATAATCAATTGTCGTTGGTTTAATTTGATACCACTAGCATCGAGGCTCTCAGTGTTGTTGGGAGCCTTTCTCTCATCCCCACCACAGACCAACAACACCAAATGGCACAATCTCTACATGAATGTATACAAAAATATTGAGGGAGGAACAGTCAAAATACCTACTTTGGTTTGGTAATGCATAAGTTATCTTTTCTTTTGATTTTCTATTAATTTTGTCACTTATTGGGCAACGGACATTCAAGAACCAATCTTACTATTGGTTTTGTTGTTCTTGAGTTGAATTTTAAACATCAATATATTTAATTTCTTTGTTGTAGATGGAAACCACACTCCTATGCCATCACCCACTCAACGGAGTCAAGATTCCACTAGGTCTAGTGAACGAGACAGGTAAGAGGTTGAATGTTTACATTTCTAATGCACTTTATTAGGAAAATAACGGAAAAATGTATTTTTTCTCCAATGTCAAGAGGGAGAGATATTTGTTTGTTTCATTGTCATAAACTTATAAAAATTTAAATAATTGTTTCAGCGTAAACCTAAGTTCTGATACGTTTGACTCAATGCTCTTTACACTGGGCTTGATTGTTTGTGTAAATTCCCGTCTAGCCTATACAAACCTTTCAGAATAACAGAGCTCAAAAGCAATTAGAAGTTTGCTTAGGCCATACATAGGCATACTGTCAAATATTATTAATAGTTTAAAGAGTAATTTAGAAATATTTATGTTTGCAGAGAAATATTCTCACCTCACAAGCAGGATAGAGAACGGGAAAGGGATAAGGAACGAGATCCTGATAAACACAAACATGACAAACATGAAAAGCATGAAAAATCAGAAAAGACAGAAAAGTCAAAGGAGGAAAGGAAAGAAGAGAGAAAAGAAAGGAAAGCCAAGAGAGAGAAGGCAAGAGAACACAGAAAAGAGCGGCGGGAAAGAAAGGAAAGAGAAAAAGTGAAGAAAAGAGAGCGTCACGATTCCATGGGTGAAAATAGTGAACAAGACCAACATAGTATTCAGAAAGTGTCAGAAATCATGTCTCCAAATCAATCTGATGGTAAGGTTTATGTTTAGATCAGTAAAATTGTGGAAATAATAATTAGTCTTAATGTAAATACAGCGTATTCTTGTCAATACACAATAGAAAAAATATTTACAATTCCGTTGGTTTTAATATAATGTTTCATCAGTTACATAATGTTATATTTTGTCTATAATGGCACAGTTTTCTTTGATTCTTCTTACCTAAAAAACCTTTAATTAAAAGCAAAATTTTACTAAGAAACTTGTTTTTTAGCCGACAGAAGAAGCAGCATTGAAGGTCCCATAATGATGCCAACCGAGAAACAACCTGAAGACTCTGACAAACGATCTGTATTTGCATCCGTAGCGGACGACAATGGACACACCCTTCAACATCTTCCGAAGAAGCAGCGGGAACTGTTCCTGAGGATACAACAACAGCAAAGGGAGGCGGAGAGTAGTCAGGTACAACATCAACGTGTATATGAGAATAGCTCAACCTGACCTTAACCTTAAAGGTTTACATAATTCCATTCACATTTAGCTGATATAAGCTTAATTATCAAAGAGTAGATATATTATCCTGCCAGCATTATGAAGTACCTGGAAATAAGGTATTAATTGACAAAATAGTGACTTACCTCACAATTAAAACTTTTACCAATTGCTTGTATTGTAATTTTAATTTAATTTATACCTGATTATTTGGTAGATAAAGCTATTCTTTGCAGAGGATAGGCTTCACTCAATAGACAGAAAGTAACCTTGAAAAAGAACAGAATTGAAACATATTGACCTATTGTGTGAGGTCTCACTCATTATTTACCAAGGCAAATAGATACACTGAAGAAAACTAAAATAACATAGCACTTATATTTGACTTGATACAGTTTCTCAGAAAGTATATAGAGTTATTTCTTCCCATCAATCATTAAGCTGACAGATCTAAAATTATTTTACCAAAAAGCATTTTGAAAATTTTAAATTAACTTAGATTGTCAGTTAAATTGGTTAACTTCATTAAGCATGGGACATTGATTGATATTTAACATTTTATAAAGAGAATACACTTTATATAATAAGACTAGAGATCACAGAATAACTGATGCACTGCAAATCTTACTATTGATTGACAGACTTTTCAGCGGTACAAAATATTTCACAGGTAATGAAACCCATCTAGTGTATGTAACTATTCATCCTAACCTAAATAAGATATCCTAGTTCCAATTACAAGTATTTAACTTACTCTTTTTCCAGGCGAGCGCAAATGACGAGGATGATGAAGATAATAAAATGGCAGAGGAGAATTGGTACTCGAGTGATGAAGAGACACCCAGTAGTGCCAACCCCCCAGCTACCACTGCTAGTATGAACCCTCTGTCTTCTATTTTACAAGGCCTCACTACAGGGGCCAGCAGTAGTGCCACTACGACCAAAGCCACAACTACCAGCTCTACAGTTGGCGATCCTGTCTCTCTCCTCAACATGCTGGCTTCTGCGTCAGCTGCGGCAAAACCACTTGATGTTCCCAACCCTCCAGCCCCTACTGTGGTTAGTACAGTTGTTTATCATTTAAAGAATTGCAAATTATATTAATTTTTCAGTGTGGCAGATTGCGTGTAGATATTTATAAATATACAAAGGCTACTTACAGTCTTCGCAATCCTGGTAAGTTGTAGCACTACGGCTGTTTCGGATATCACTCCATCGTCGGGTGCGTGGTCGTAGTATACTAAACTATATCACTATTTACATATTTACGGCATTTCTTCATTTTCATTGTGTCAAAGTTTATAAACAGTACATACACAACGCAAAACACAAAAACAACATGAAAACCTTAAAGCATGTGTATGGCTAAAAAACTGGCGACTGACTGCAAAGAAGTATTTTTTTTTATAAATTATAGTAAATAGTTTTTAGTTTCATCCTAAAAAATTTAACTTTCTGCTGTTACATTTTGACCGTACAGCATTTTGCTTTAAGTCAATATTGAGTGGCTGCTCCGGGACGTGAACCCAAGATGTTGCGGCCTTGGCGTCACAATCAGTGATGCTACTGATTGACCAAAGATTGAAGGTTTAATGTCTACATCAAAGCGCTCAGACAAATGTGCTTTTTTTTTAAAAAAAATGTGCTTTACTATGAAAAAAAATTTCCATCTGTTGTACTTTAAAAAATCCCCCTATTTTTCATCTGTACATTTCACCCTTGTACCATACCTGCTCACCCCTTGCTTTGCTGGATACCACGCATAGGCCTCTGCAGCCCATGGTGGACGGGTAAATGAAAGGCTGTTGAACTTTCTGCTGTTACATTTTGACCGTACAGCTTTTGCTTTAAGTCAATATTGAGTGGCTGCTCCTATTCTTGCTCCTACTTTTTTAACCTCTTCTTGTTAAAAAAGTACCAACTTTGGTACTTAAGAATGTCTTCCACAGTATAAATCCGATCATAGCCAATTTTAGAAATATATAAATGTTATTCTTGTTTCAGTCATTCATACCTCCGCAGTTGGACTTTTCAAACATGCAGTCGGTGATCGAAGCACTTACTAACCTACAGAAGATGAGCTCAGCTCAGAAACAAGCTGAACAACAACAACAACAACAACCCTCAACACCAACATCTACAGAACCTGTGGTTGAGACAGTCAGACATGATGAACCTGCCAAACCGGAACCGGCCAGGTTTGTTTATTCCTCAGACAGTAACATCCAACATTATTAATAAAAAAAGTTTATACTAATTGAGTAGTGTAGTATGTATAGTAAGGCTCCTAAAAATTGCGGCGACATTTTAAATTGTTTGATAATAGAAACTTTGCAGATGGCTTCCGCAATAACTTTAATATTTTTTTATTTTCCATCCTTAAAACATTAAAATAATATAATTCCCACCAGAAAACCGGAATATGACTAAAGATTTCAAGTAACCAATGTCTACATTTTAAAATTCTGTCAAATTTTAACTAGGAGCCAGCATTAGGCCTACTTTGTGATTTCAATATCTGTGATATATTTGAATTAATTAAAAATTTTATATTGCCCTGAGTTAAAGTTGAAAATTATCTATTTTTTACGTGATAATCGCCTTACGTAATAACTTATCACTGACCTAATATTTTTAAGCAAACCCTGAACATATCTTTGTATTTTTTTTCTAAGCAAACCCTAAACATATAATTGTAGGCTAATTAGTTTTTCCAATACAATCACATATAAAGTGAAACAAACTTTAATTATAAAAACTTTTTTAGATAAGTACATTATTTCAGCCAAAGTCCTTAATTTTTTTTATCAAAATAATTCACACAGGTGATTGTAAGGAAATTCACAGAACTTCTGGCCAGACAACATTGTCTGTAATTATTTCTTGGCTAGAAAAAGAAACAGTCCTTTTACAACTTCATTCAACTTCACTCCGTCAAATGACCAGGTGCAGCTTAGACCAACATAAAGTTGCCTGTGGGAAAATACAGGTTTAGGGAGGTACATTCCCACTTTACGAGGGATTGTCCTTGCACCTTATCAATTGTAAATGCAATGCTAACATTGGTAGAAATTAGAAGCATTCCATGCCAGGGCAATGCCTCTGATGGAGACAGTTTTATTTTAGGAATTAATACTTTACCTCCTTTGTTCGTTCTGGTCAATACTACACACTCAATAGTGTTGTTTAGCATTTTTGTATGGATGTAAACAAAATTGTATCATGGCTATCTGTTTTACGTAAACAAAAGTAAACTTGAAAAAGTTCAGATGATTGACAACAGAATTTAGCACAACACTGGAATTTTAAAAGTATATAGGATGAAGGGCTTTCACGGGATATCATCAATACCCGTAAAATGCACATCTAGAGGTTAAGAGCTATAAATTGATACCCAAAATGCATATAAAAATAAATATTTAGGGGTCAGTTTGCTGAATACAAAAATCCAAGAAAGTCCTTTAATCATATCATACTAATAGGATAAATGTGAAAAAAGTTGGTGTGTTTGTTCGTTTGAAGTTCAATCATGCATTAACTACTGGTCGGATGGGCTGAAATTTGGTATGATGATAGCTCACATTCCCGATTATCATATAGACATATTTTTATCTCAAAAATCCTTTCGGGCTCCGCCCCAGTGGCTCTGGATTGTCCTACATTAATTAACCTTATGAGTATTCATATTGAAAAGGAATTAAAGAATTTTGTCAGCTGTTTCAACCAGACAAGTTGGTTTTTTTCAATATCATTAAAAAGTTTTAAGGTTTACCAACAGGGTGCAGCACTATTAATTTTTTGATGCATTCATGACAACAGTTAATTTGAACCAAGCAGCGATTGAACTGTCAAAGTAGGATTGTTTACAGTTAAGTTTATGTTTTGAAATTATAAATAACCTTTTGATAATGTGCAAATATTCAATAATTTAATTTTGTTGTTTAGGTGTAGTGGTAGAATATTGTGGCTATGGTAGATGTGTTATACTATAGCATACCGTAAATTAAAAGAATCAAATTTTCTCAAACCGTATCCTCTCCTATTGCAAACGCAAGGTATGAACGAGTATAACTGAATAAGCATTTTATACTCATACGCCAACCCCGTACGAAGGACGGGTATTCTGCTCGTAATATATAAATGTACAAATAACATTTACAAACTACATTAATAACATAACAAAATATATTATCATACATTAGACTTTTCCAAATGTTTCATATAATAATTTATTAAACCTTCCACCGTTTTTATCGTTCACCGTTCTTTTTATTCTTTTGTATCTTAACTTGGTCTGAAATCAAAATTATATCAGGTCAGACTGACGGATGCTGTCTGCACAAGATGACATGAATACTGTATTGTCTTCTGTTACATTGTCTTGAGGTCTGCTACAACGGAAAACACATCTACTTGAACTCACACCATGTTCCATATCCAGATTCTTATCAACTACAAAATTAGCAAAAGTTACTGTGACAATCTGTAAATTTAATCTCCAAGTTTTAGTTGGGACCCTGTAAGTGTGATACAAAATGCAGGGACTATTTCAAAGCATATTTCGTTTAACTCACAATTTCACACAAATCTATCCTAGTAGATTTTAAACAGCAGCATTTTAACAGAATTGCCTGTCTTCTTACACTTTTTTGCATTTCCATCCACGTCCATCTTTTGTCCTGTAACAGTCTATTGTCACACTTTCATCAACCCCTGACTCATTGTATTGCTGTTCTTAGGGTGAGAGATCCTAGGCTGTCCAGGCTGGAGGGAGGAGATGTGGACTTGAGACAGAAGGTGAGACCACCACGGGTGGAGTCTCCGCAGCAAGATGTGGATCTCCGCAGTCTGCCATTCAAGCCTGTGCAGCACACTGCAGCAAGTGAGATTGATGCATCTCTAGCCTCTCACTCTGCGATCACTTGGAATCTGGTTCCTGCTGACATCATCAAGGCAGACTACACAAACTTGCAGATCCAACCGAGGGTGAGTCACAATATTGTGTTTGTTTTTGGCTATTAGGCTTTATGGTTTACAAATGCATATTCTCGAGTTAATGTTTTTCTTATACATGTTTGTTTGTGCTAATTTATCAATATATTTTTGTAGCCTACTTAATTGAATCACTAATAATAAAGTTTGGACAGTTTATCTATTACTCTTCATCTAGATTTCTATTCATAGGAATTTTCATGTTTTTTTGTACTTAATCATTCACTGATAATGTGTTGGGTTGTAAGAAATACAATCATTGGGTTCTTCAGAGCAAATGAATTTATCATTTTTCCAAATTAATGTAACAACACTATTAAGCCCTAAACTACAAAATAACTACGACCCCCTGAATTATAGTTAAAGATTGGGCCGATTACAGAGAAAAAAATTTTATGGTTGAAATAACTTGGTATTTAAGTAGGCCTAATAAGATTCATTCACTGAAAAAACCCAGTTAAAGTCAGGCTACCACTGTTACTGTGGTAAGTTGTAAGGGTGATTGTAAAAGTTTCAAATGTAAACAGAAAGTAGCAATCTTGGTGTGTCATTGAAATAAAATCAAGGTGTAATGTTTCAGCCTGGAGTTAACGACCCACGCCTCCGCAGGATCGCTCGTCCCCCCACAGATGACCTAGGTCTTCCCCGCGACCCCCGCCAGAGACTGATGGATGACCCCGTGCCGGCCCCTGCGCCAGTGAGGGACCCACGTGCCCGTGGCCCACTGCTGGCCACCCCTGCCATGCCTCCACTTGGGCCTCCCCCCACTCCTCGGTATGATGAGGACCACCGGCCACAGTTCTACCGTATGGACAGTGACATGCGTCAGTTCCCCCCACCCACTCCTCGGATGGATGAAGAAGTCTACACACCGGGTCCGAGCCGTCCTGTCGACCCCCGTCGCAAACAGTTCGCCCCCCGCCCTGACGACATAGACCTACGCCCAATAGCGCAAAGAGTTCCTTTTGTCAATTTCAAATGAACTTGAAACTGCCACTTTGGACTTTAAAGTATTCTCAGTGCTGTGGATATTCCAAAGCTGTATTTTCATCAGTATCATCTGTGGAGGTTATATCTTGTTTAGTTTATCTATTCTTTGTCTAATGTTAATTTATTTAGCTCATTTAAATTTAAAACGATGGTTATACTAAGCCATGTAAAAAGCTCACTGTATTCATGTATTATAATTTTCCTATAGTTATGTTTTAATTTAATCTGTATATATGGATGAATAAATGTACATAATAATTTTAATGTATAATGACTGGAGACTGTATACACATGTTACCTTGCTTGCTGGAACGCTATGGTACTGTATATGTAAGTTTTTATACATAATTAAATATTTTTATTTCATAAACATGTTTTGATTTCTTTGTCTTGGGGTCTTCTCACAATAGTAAGAACTTTTTCAAATCAAAATACTTGAGAAATTGCAAACAAATATGAGGTACTGTAGTTTAAAAAGAAAACACTTTTTAAATTTCATGTCACATAACTGCTTTGTGATTATAAGCTATCTGCAAATAAAGGTTAGTTAATATGATTTAGTTTACATGAACAAATTATGTGAAAATCAAACTGAGATAATTTGTGATGGTCCAAACAAGTTTAATCCAGCAAACTTGGGCAAGATATCAGTTACTTCTTTGACCATAACACACAAACAACATTGCACTATACCGCTAATTTTAGTCAATGTAGTAATTTTTTTTGCCAGGCCTCACTTTGTTTACTGGGCTGCCTAAGCTATAGCCTATAGCGCCAAATTTCCAAAAATCTTATAGTCAATTAATAGTCGAGGTTTCTTTATTCTTTATCGTACATGGTACAGGATGGTGTCTAATCAGTGGCGTAACAAATTTTTTTGGGCCCCCCTGCAAACTTATTTTTTTTGGCCCCCTCCCATGAGTTATTTTAGACCACCAATACAACATACTCAAACACTCTCCCCCCTCAACACCTGCGTTTTTTTTTCTTTTATAATTATGGGTAATGTTTCATAAAAGAACGTGTTAAGTATTTCAGTCATGGTTGGATAAGTTACATCTCAACATCATTATATCAATATCAGTGGTTATTTAAAGTTTTAAAATAAAATAAAAATATCATATTTTTTTATCCGTATCATAATGTTTTATGTAAAGGAGGTTTGATACTTAATTTATAACAAATTTTATCAATGATTTATTTGGTTAGTTTAAAGGCTAAAATATTGCATTTTTTATTTTAACTTTATATGGATTTCAAGTGTTGACCTTCATAAAAAATATGTCTTTAGCATTGATGAATTGTGAGGTAAAATAAGAAAAAGGCTAACACACGAAGTCAGTAGAGTAGCAAAATATTGTATTTAACGATACACAATTAATATTATAGGGCAAAAGTAACATAATTATTTGCTTATAGAAAATTGTAAATAATGTACTATACAAATTAATAACTTCTTAGACTTAATTAGCTTAACTTACAATTTACAAATAACGACTATTCAATATGTTATTCTTCACTTGAATTTGCTCACTCTTACTGAATGTTGTGAAGCAAATGCTTTTATAATCTCTTTAAAATCAATCTATCTTGCCGCTTCACTCTCTATACTTAGTATACTTAGCCCACTAAGCCTTTTTTTGAGACATGGTACTTTGAAGATAGTGTTTAATCAACTTTAACTTAGAACACGACCTTTCAGCTGATGCAACATTTACGGACAATGTTAAAAACAAAGTGTATGCTGTGCATAGTCCTACCATCTGGAACGCTGCAAGCGACAGAATAGTAGTCAATTAACAAAAGTTCACAAATTCCTTTTACTGATATCTTTGTTAAGATTTCTGCTTTCAAATTCCTTTTAACAAGTGAGCATTTAGTGAGGAAAATTAAAGTGAAATCCTCATTATATGCAGCAGCTAGTTCTGTTGATATAACATTTAACTGTTCGTCTGTAGACAAAGATAAAAACTCCGGGGTGAGAACAGAAAACATACTTGTTCATCCCCTCAAATATTTAAGTCATTTGATTTATTACAGTATCTAAAGTTCTATGATACACAACTGTTTTGAAATTAATGTCAGGATTCGATAGGCGTTCATCCTCTGCTAGTTTAACGAACTGTTTTAAAATGTTGTTAACCTTAAATGTTAAATTTGTTACCTTAGTTCAACCGACCTTCTCCTTTCGACACCGGCTGGAAATACATCACAACCTCATATTCACCAGCCTAGCATTGCTGTCAGTGTACACGGTCTGATTTTTTTCGGTCCAAGTTTCGATCTAATGACCTAGCGGAGAGACGAATGGTAACTAAAAAGGTAATTTCCTTTAGGGCTTTGATTTGCATTTGATTTATTTCTAGAGTTTGTTTTCAAAGATGGGTTGCTGACCTGTTTTCTTTATAGGTTTAACCTTTGACTACCAATACAACTAGACATCTAACCCCATGTTACAATTGTGCCAGTTTTTTTTATAAAAATCTTCATAATTGATGTGAGCAACTGACAGATTGTGCTGATATAAATTAACTTAAAATATAAATATAAATTAAAATAAAATCTTTTTTGTATATTTACCGTCTTGAGAGTAACATTACAGGCGTAAATAAATGTTTTAAGTGTTATAAAACAAATTTAATAACACGTACAAAGCTTATCAAGATATATTAAATTAGTAATTTCTGTTGAAAACAAAAACTTTTTTATAGGGATGGTCAAGTCTCGAAATTTTGGGAAATTTTAAATCTCGTTATACGAGACAAGATTTCTTTTTGATTAGGATTTTTTTCGAGACAAGAATTAAAAAATAAAATAAAATAAAAACGACTGCAGAAAGTCAATGCAATACCACAATACAGGAGCGCGTTGTAGTTGCGTTTTCTTTTCAAAGGCATTCTTATTTAATTAATTCTTTACATGTAAATATTACTTTTATCATTTGAGAAGTTTTGTTATGTGTAAGCAGTGTGTGAGGAATGTTTTACTACTATAAACAAAGCCAAAACAAGTAACCATTTTATACAAATTAATATTGCTTTTATTTTATGATTAATTTATTTTAGTTTAAGTTAACTCTATCCTACAGTGGCGTAACAGAAGGGCCCGCAATGCGGGGGGGGGGCCCGAGAGCTGAGGGGGCCCGCGAACCGGTGAGCGTGTAGCAGAGAGGCCCGTGAGACGAGTGGGGCCGAAAAATTGGAGTTCATTCTTATTTAAATGTACTATCAATCATTCAATAATTGTATTGAACAAGTAATAGCATTGATGTTATTAATAATATGTTGTTATCAGTTATCGTTTAATTTCGTTAGGCCTCTTCAGTGATAACGAACTAGGGTAACAAATTTAAGTGTAATAACGTGGGTCTTTGATTATTATGCAATCTTACATTCGTCACCGAGAAATATTTTACTTCTCGGTGATTTCGTACACTGCTTATGTCGTCTGCAAACATTTTGTTACTTTGGAGCCTGGAGTCATGAACGTTGGCTGGGGCTTTTAATATTGTATTATTTTACATTTTAGTTTTGTCCTAATATTGATTGTATTTTGTTAAATACAATATACTGCTACTCTACTGACTGTGTTTGTTAGCCCATATCTTATTTTACCTTACAATTAACCAATACTAAAGACATTTGTGGTAAGATAAACAAACGCTTGAAATCCATACAAAGATAAAATAAAAAAAATGCAATAGGCTATTTTAGCCTGTGATAAAAGTATGTTAATCTATTAAATTAACCAGCTTTTAGTGTATGAGTTAATTATAACCAAAGATTAAACTGACTAAATTAATACTTTAATATTTTACTTTGAAATGGCGACCATACCAATGTAGGCATTTTAAGCCATGAATTAATGGAGATGAGTGTAGGATGAGTGGCGCAACCTTTTAGTTTTGAAAGGGACTAAGGCCGACATATTCCTTAGAAAAAGCTGTTAATTAAAAGCCAATACAGCCAAAGGCAACTAGGGGGCCTAAGGGGGTTAATAGAGGAATTCGAACCACAATTTTGCCTTGTAATTAACGAATTAGTCATCTAATTATCAGGGCAATAAAAATGGATAACATATGTGATAAATTAGGCCTAAATGTAAAATCTTTAACCTCCTTGATCATTCTGATACACAGATGGAAAATAAAGTATTTTTTTTAATTTGATTTCAGAACTATTTACAAACACTGATATTGATTGTGTAACATTTCATGTACGGTAACACATTTTCATCAAACCAGGACTGAAATACTTAACACGCCCTTTTATGGAACATAACTCATAATTTAATATTTTTAATTAATATTTAATATTTTAATTTAATATTTTTTTTATAATTTATTTACTACTCTTTTTATGATTAATTTGTTTGATCATTGTATTGGTGGTCCAAAAATAACTCTGGGGGGAGGGGAAGGCGTTTGATTATGTTGTATCGGTGGTCTAAAAAAAACTCATGAGAGGGGGGCCCAAAAAATAAGTTTGCAGGGGGCCCGTAAAAATTTGTTACGCCACTGCTATCCTAACTGATATCACCCCCCCTCCCCATTTATTACAGCAATCCTGGCAAATGTCACATAAGGTAAATTTTATATTGCTGTCAAGTATGATAAGGTCGGCTACATAAGAAAAGGAAAAAATATAAAATCCAAGCAGTAAAATCACACTCACTCAAGCACAGCACTGTGGTTAATTTCATAAAAACCCCTAAAGCTTTGTACAAAATATGCGGGAAAGTAAAAACACTCATAATTCACAAAATTTACTTACAATTAATTTAATATGAAACCAAAACAATATTACAAAAGCCTTATATCAACCTTTGAGAATCCTTTTCGTATCATGGTAAACAAGAAACTCACTTTGATATTCCCAGAATCTTCAAATTCTTTAAGTTAAAACTCTGATCAAAATTCAAATGTTAGTTGAGTGAATGCAAAGTATCTCATTCATACTTTATAAACAGACAATAAAAACATGAAAAAAATCAAAATAATCCTGGCATATCCCAAAATAAAGCCAACACTAAAGTTTATTTAGCACAAACATCGTAACAAAATAGTTTCTTTAAATAATTTCTATTTGCAGACAAAATCGTGGAAGAATGATGAAGATTAGCTCAAATTTAATCAAATCGAATCGACAGGAAATTTACAAGGAATCTGTGCAGGTAAGGCGTGAGGGTTGTTTTCTTTATACAATAAATAATCTTTGCAGTTCAGTCATCCATGTTTTGAGAGAGGAGGAAGTTGGCGGCAAGGTTCTCGTTTTTCTCACACGCAAAGTACGCCTGAATCACCAGATGTTCTGGGAAACCAAGCGCTTTCAACTGTAAACAAAGTATTTATAGATAACTATTAGATCCTAATGAACAGTGCTTCTTAACTTTCTATAACCTACCATTTAATACTGTATTTGTATTTTACAACTAAAAAGTAAAGGGGTTATTTCAATAAGTTTAGTTGTTTTCTTCTTCCAAACCAGTACTGCAGTACTCTTTGTTGGTGCTATCAAATGTGACTATCATAAGTACTGTTAGAACTCTGGATTTTGAAAAAAATAAACAGATTTTCCATAGTTTTAAAAGTTAGGTAAATGACTGCTAGGGGGTCTGCAGTCTCTGATATCTTAGGGTTGAATGAAGCCATCAGTTGGCCCGAGGGATTGGTTTGGGCCAAAAAAAGATTAGTTTTTTTTTATTCTGACCATAGAATATGTACTTGATTTCACCATGACCTGTGGTTTTGTCGCTATCATAGGAGATGATAATATTGCTGTGACCGATGATAATGATACGTATACCGAAGAGCTTCTGATACGTATTAAGTATAGATGTACACATTATTTATAAACAGTATGCACATGTTTTTGACGTATGGACAATAACAAAAACCTATTTCCTGCTGGTAAGAGCTCTTCCCTCGAGCACGGACTTGCAGTCCATTCGGGGGAATACTATTCTTACCCTAATAATGTATTCCTGTATTAATAAAGGTGAATAAAGTGATTTTTGATTTGATTTGATATAGATTTTAATTTTAGTTTGTTTTTATTTTTGAGCTGTTCCTAAAAATAATTTTGTTTAAGTAGTTCCCGTAAGTATAGATACATTTCTTCATTTTTGCTTGATACCCTTTTGACAAAGTTTATTCATTAAACAAACATTTATTTAATATTTTGAAAATGTTTCATTAATATATAGTATATTAATGAAACTATACTTTACGTACTATGAAGCTATAAGTAAAGTGCTCCAGAAACTATAAAAAAGTCATTTGACATTTTTACTAAGAAACACTTATATATTTTTAAAATATTACTTTTCAAGGGAATTCAAACTTTTTGGCCTGAACCGATTTTAGCCCGAGACCTGAGGATCACTGTTTACTCGATCTGACCCGAAAAAAAAAGTCTGACCTGCAGACCCATACTATCAAACGGTGAGTTGTGGCATTTATGACAATAGGATTTGTCATTTCAGAATCATCCAGCCAAAAAGAAAATACCAGCCATATTCATATTATATTTGCAGAAAGTTATTGGTTGGTTAAAGATTAATATCACATGTCATATATTTCTTTAAATTATTGCCATCACTCTGGCAATAGCTTAACTGAAATTTACTAATTCTAAGTGGTTACTTTAACTTCTGTCAACAATTAAATTCTTGGCTAATCCAAAATCTTAAAACACAGAAATAAAATGCCTTGTTTGGTTTAAATTAAACAGAGGATTGGTTGGGACTATGTTATTGAGCAGACCCCTGCCTCCCTAGTTTACACGCTACATGTGGCTGGTGCCCAGGGATGAGGTCTGCCCTCAGTCAATCAACCATGATGATGATGTGCGTTTTTGCTCAATACACAACAGCGTTCAATTATGACTTTTCTTCTCCCATTTCAACCAACCAGAAAAAATGAAAACATACCCTCTCAATGGCCTCCTTGTCTTGGGGAGTGACAGGGACGGCTGTAGGAGGCATGGCTGCGGCGGGAGGAGCAGTTCCGGTGCCCCCACCGCCACCTTGGGGCTCATTGAGCATTCGCACAAAAGCCTCCTGGTTCTGAGAGATGAGCTGCAGCAGCGCCGGATTGGTCTGTCCGATCTGCTGTAGAACTGCGTTCAGGAGGTCGGGGTTCTGCTGCACCACAGAGCGCATCTGTTGGAACTGAGGTTGCGACCTGAGGAACGCCAGTGGCTCCTCTCCGGGCTCACCTGCGACTGAAAGATTCATTGTGTAGCCGCTTAACAAACTCATGGTTCACATTTTTATAGATTAGAGTAAAAAAACTTAATATCCGTGGTCTTCAGGCAATGGCTGGGACAACTGAGTTTAAAGATACATCAACTGTGTAGGAGTCAAGTCAACCTGAAGAATGCATAATACATAAGGGCCGAAATGTTGGTAAATAGAAGTAGCCTATTTCATAAATTTAGACACGGTTGTCGCTCAAATATCACTAGGAGGCCTATCCATGAAGATCACAAATCACTTTCTTTGTGCTATCACATATGGAGACAGTGATGATGTCCACATTACTTCGGGAAATGATCATCGAAACGATATCACCGCGATAACATTGTGATAAATGCACATAGCATCAAATTTATGATTGCTTAAGTTAATACATTAGAGTACCTCTTATCCGAACTAACTGGGGCCAGACCCTGTTTGGATTAGTGGAAATTCGGAATATGCAGACATTGTGATCACGGATGATGTTCACAGTTGTCTAAATAGGATCAAAACATTAGATTACATTTTGAAAAAAGATTTGTGACAGAAAAACTGTTTACATGGCATTACATAAAATTCATTAAGTTATATAACAAATCTTAAGTCTATTTAAATTCCAAGCTCACACAATTACTTTAAATTCAATTTAGTGACTTCCCTGGTGAGATCAATGACTTCTGTGACCTCCAAAGTAAAACTCAGTGGGGCAACAAGCAAGTAATAGGGAATTTGAGAAGTTACCAATGACTGTCTGGAAAACAAAACAGTCTCTAAGGAACAAATGAAAAACAATGACAAATATGATGAACATCTTGTACCTGCAGGTGGCGAGTCTTCATCAGCTGGCCCGTTGTCTGTGTCTGCTGGTATTCCGGTCAGCAAGTACTCCACAGCTCTGTCTGGGTTGTTATAACTCGCTCTAAGTGCTGCTTCTACCTAAACACAGACAATAAGTATGAACATACATTAGGATTCATTGAAGGGGTAGCTCTTGATGAATGCAGAGCACTAATCAACTCACTCACTAAACATGAAGCTCTTCCATGATGAATTGTTTATTCTCTTTACATCATTTTTTAATTATCAAAGTCAGCAGAGAGGCATTGGATCAATTTTTAGAAACACATTATTATAGTGATTTGAATGAACACCTTGAGATTTCCATTGTATATTGAATATCGAAGTAGACATCTCATTTATATGGACCAGCTGTCGTAGATTTTTTTTTATTAAAAAAGGACATAGTTGTGTAAGCCAGTCACAGAATGTGCTAGGGTCGTGCAAGCCAGTCACAGAATGCACTAGGGCTTAAAATTCTATTTTCTACCTTATTTTTTGGATACTGAACAAGTTGATTGGTCATAACAGAATTGCTATAGCTCACTAAAAGTCATTCCATTTGTTTTAATTGGTTAAAAAGTTTGTGTACTCGACAAAAATCAGTAATTTTGATCAGCACAATCTGATGGTGGCTCAAATCAACTGCGGCGATTTTGATTTTAAACTGGCGAAAACTTTAACATGGGGATGGAATGTATAGTTGTATCAATAGTCAAAGGAATTTTTTTAGTGAGAATCTATGATTGGTAAGGAAGCTGAGTACATATCTGAGAAATTGAGTTTGGTCTATTTAATACGGTTGATGTTAAATGGAATTATCTATGATATAAATTCTTCAATTATAGTCTGTTCACAAAATTTAGGCGGTATGAGGGAAAGTTACCACTTTTTAGTTTCCTTTTTTTGATGTTGCAGCTGATTGGTGGATTCAATAAATGTATGTTTATATTTACTTGTTACCTCAGCTGTTGAACTATGGTTTTAAATATATGGTGAAGTGGAGGGAATAGATTTTGTGTCCGAAAACCACCTAAATTTTGTGAACTGAGTATGAGAATTTAGTAGTGTTGATCAAATATTACTACATATGAAAGCAAACTTAATAATGTAATTCTCTTTTTAAAATGAAATTTTTTACTTTCATAAACTTTTACTGATAAACACCGGATTTGAAAATGTTTAATCACGCCAAGGACAAATTTATATGGGTCAGACAAACTGTCCACATCCTATGAAAGTTGATTAGCAGTAAATGCGACACTGGATAAAAAAATCTCAAAAATCTGTTTTGAAGTACCACAATTGAATTGAGGTTCATCAGAAAAACACCCAGCCACTAATATTGTAGTTTAACACTTTCGCCTTTCAAAATGTTTAGGTACATAGGTCGTTAGTACTGGTACCGAGGAGGGAACTAAGTTTGTACACACTGTACATACCTGATCTCTGTCATATCCCATGTCTACAATATTCTGCACCATAGTGTTGTACTCCTCACCCATTAACAAAGCTGATTCTGCGGCAGAGATGTTAGCCGGAGGTACTGCCTCCGCCCTAGCCTCAGCTGGTCTAAATACAAATTTTACTGTTAACTTTTGAAAACACCAACTGGTAAACACACATAAATTTACGGTTTTGAGATGGAGGCCTAGCTACAGCAGTGTGTCGGATATCTGATTTTCACTTGGGTTACCTGCATTTGCTCTCACAGGCCCCAACTCAATCCTCTCACTGCCCTCCCAAAGATACCCGACTGGCTTCAGACACCTATGTTTGACTGTACTTTCTGATTATTTTAGAGAGCTGCATATAACCATTTACTATTTATAAAAGTAGACACCCATTTCCCATGGTGAAGTTGTAGCCAATTTCAGAATGAAAATTAATTTAGTTGGATTTAGTCACTGACAGGGTGTGCCAATAAAGAATAGCCTATGCATTAAAATAATGATTAATATTCTGTAGGATAAAAGATCAAATCAATACATTACAACTGTACAAGTCTTGTACCAACCTGTCCTCGCTAGGCCTAGACTCAGGCTCGGGTTGCGCAGGCGGGGCTGTAGGATCAGCGGGGCCAGTGCTGGGGGTTGGGGCTGACTTAGGCTTTGACACCATCACTACGATAAACTTCTTCTCGTCAATATTGTATTCACTAATTGGGGATTCATCTGTGAGAATTTTACCTGCAAACATGATAAGTCATTTTAGTTCAAATTTAAGGTTTTTTTCCATTTCACCTGTGTTGAAGACTAAATCAAACAATTAAGTACAGATATATACTAGGCCTACATCTTTCATGGTTGGCGGAGTTATTCGTTTGTACTTATATTTTGTTCGTATTGTTTATGTGTTGTATCCAATATTTAGAGACAACCTCCATGGCCAGGAACCTGAGTATTTACTCACAAGTTCCAAAAACAATGCAGAGGATAGTGTGATTGAGTAAAAAAACTTGGAAATTTGCTAATCCAAGGGATAAAGAGGTTATTCAATCAAGCAGTTAAGTGTTAGTTTTCCCCATGGAGGAGGAAAAACTTTGTTTTCATAACAATTGTGCACATTAAATTAATTCTCTAATATGTTAATTCCTAAAATTAGAAGAAAATACTCACCGGCATAGATAAGTCGTTGATTAGCAGCTGGGTAGTCTTTTCCCTTCTCAGCTTGTATTCGCTCCTTCAGATCTTTAATCTGAAAAAGGCCAAAGAAGGTTAAAAACAAAAACTGTTGAAATTCCTACATTTTTTTTATCAGTTCAACAATAGGCCTAAATTAGGCCTACATGAAAAGCAAGAGCATGGCCGATTTTTATTAGGATAATTGTAAAAGGTATTGTACATGAGGACGAATCTCAATCCTGCCAATTGATTGATTGATTGAAAGACGATCCTGACAAACAGGAGAAGACACGACAAGGCATTTGTTGGTGGAAAGCAAGGGGGTGGTCCAGGATGGGCTGGAATCAAGTTTAAAGGTTCCCAATAGATCTTTTTCCAACAGTCACCCAACAAAGTTGGCTTCCTTGTACTGTTTATAGTACAGAAAGCTGCTAATTGCTGCATATTTATAACTTTGCTGTACGGTTTATACTTTGTCGTACGGTTTATACTTTGCCGCACATCAGGATTCCAACGAAACAACACAAAACAGCGTGGTTCTATTATGCACATAATCCGTGTACGCTTGAAAATAGGTTGGCAACACTTAAAAATATTAATACTATGAGCAACTGATTGACTATTATAATTACGATTTAACCTGTCATTTCGTGTTTATAGTTTCGGTATTTCTGAACTTTTCTTTTAAACGTTTTTAAAACATTCCTACGATCTTAATAAACAAGAAAATACCTTTAAAGCATTTTTTTAGACGCGGAAACCACTTCAAATTACAAAAACATACGGAACTATATCCTCAAAACGCGGAGCACATTTCTTGCCGAGGAAAAATAGCGGAGTGATACGGACCGGGTACTACTTTCTCTAGGGCACCTATTTGTGTTGCCAGCTGAACCTAAAAACGTGTTGTATAATGTTTGAAAGACTAATTATTATTTATATGTTTTATAGTGACTGTAGGAAAAATATAAGGTGTAACACGAGTGCAAAAGGCCTTTGCTGCACTCCAGATCATTCGTAAACATTTGTGTGCAGCAAAGTGCCACTTTGCCCACTAGTTACACAAATAACTATTTCATCACACTATTTGGTTTTAATGGACTTTCCACATATGAATTTAGTCCTGAAAACAACTGTTTGCTGCCTGCTTTATAAAGTAGGGTTTCATTATCTACTATTGTACTGTAATACACTTTTACCGGACACCAGCTGATTACAATCGGCAATGAGTGTTATAAACAAAAACATAACCTTACTTAGAAGTTATGAGTAGTGATTGAAGTCCTTTATTCAGTTCAAGTCAGTTCTCTTCGTTTTATTCCTAAAAACAAACCTAACCATGATCCTTGGTATTAAGTAAGGTTTTTCTTGGATTCAATGAATGCAGCATTCAAAAAATATTTCATTCCAGAACAGAACATATCTCTCGACGAATCAATGATAGGCATGAAGAATAGGTTTGTTTATATCAAGTACATGCCCAACAAGCACCATGCCAGATTCGGTATCAAAAAGTTTTAAATTTGCGACAGCAAGACTGGGTATGTTTTACATACTGAACTTTGTCCTGGCAAGGGCTTTTTAGAAGGCCAAGATGGAAATGACCCTTTTACTCAAAAGGTAATTATGCATTTGATGAGAAAGTGTAGTTTGTTGGGAAAGGGATACCGGATACCATTTGTTCATGGACAATTACTATACTATGTTACCGGTGACACAAAAGTTATTAGATCACAAAACATACCTAACTGGCACAGTAAATAAAAAAGCAAAAGATCTTTCAAAAAAGGTAATTGAAACTAAATTAGAACCCTTGCAAAGCATTTATTTCAGGAAAAAGACATTTTATTGGTAGGTTACAAGCAGAAAGAAAAACGGAAACCTGCCTATTTGATTACTACTGGCTGTTACGCTAAAGACGACATTGTAACGAGTAAGAGTGGGAGACAAGCATGTACCGGGTAAGCCAATCCTAATCCATAAGTACAACCTAAACATGGGGGGAGTACTCTCAAAAGATAGCCTACCATGTATAGGTATAGGTACTATGTATAGGTTCCAGGCAAGCAAAAAAATACTGGAAGAAAATTTATGACAACATTATGGACATGGCACTTTTTGACGCATGGATTCTCTATTCCAAAAATACCGACAAGCCATGAATAGGCATGACTTTATTGTAAGTATAATAGAGTCTCTAGTTGAGGGGGATGAAGTTCCTGTCCAGCAAAATGAGAACCCCATGCCTGGCCCTGGAGGGGATATCGGCCATATACTTACTTGGCTTCCAGGTGTAAAACTCCGTAGATGTGTTGTGTGTGCTGCTGAAGGCAAAAAGTCTACAAGCCATTTTTACTGCCCAGGTTGCAATGTGGGAGTACATCCAGCCTGTTTCCACAAAATGAACCACTTTTGGAGACCAACTAATAGAGGGAGGCCTTGTTTGCATGACAGGGCAGCAGCGGGAAGTCATTCTGACTAGTTTCGCGCTGACTCTGACTTAGTATAAGTTGAATAATATTTTATGACATTTTCAAGTTTTATTTGGATGTTTTATGTAAATAGATTTTATTTATAGCATAAGGAAGTAAAATGTTTGGGTGAAAAAATGACTTTTAGAACAAAATGAGAAGATAATAAATGGGAGAATAATCTAGACAAGATGAAAACAAAATAGCCTACAGTGATTTTTAGCCCAAGCGCCCAATTTGTTTTTTGCCTCTCAGATACTCTTACGGGTCATTCCATATGAAATCAACCAATACAAAATTATTTTCAACCTGACCATCTTGGATTTTGATGAAATTTTGCATACTAGTAGTATTTTAAGTCCTGAATCCAAATATGTTTTTTTTTTTTTACTATCTTTTATAGTTTTTACGATAAAAATATTTCAAAATGGTAAAAATTGGCGTTTTTTACCCTGCGAGCAAATCGAAAATATTGTCTAGGATGAGTTCTATTGGTCCCATCAAGTTGTACAATGGCTCATTTTAAAGATGATTCAAATTCCTTTAATCTGATACCAAACTCAACCTACTTTGGTAAAAATTAATATTTTTTGAAAATTTCAAAACATGTTTTTGGAAAAAAATTGAAGATAGTGTTTTTTGAAAAATTTGAAAATTACATATGTTAAAGAATGTAATCTAGTAAGCACACTATAAAATTTTCAAAGTGGGATGTTAATGGGATCAGCAGTTATGATAAAAATACTTGACTATGGTTCACTGTTTCCAAGCATTTTGGTCGCATACAGCGTGTAAGTACTAATGTAAATGTATCATTAAATAAGAGTCAATTAATTATATGATTAGAATTAAAAAGATCTGCCTATATTTGAATTTTATATGACATGTTTTGCTAATACAAACTAAATCTAGCAAATAAACAACATTATTCAAGTTAACGGAGTTGCCGTCAACCTTTGAACATGGGGAACTTTGAACAAACTTTCCACTTTTCATATTTTATTTTTTTTCATATTAATTTTATCATTAAATGATAATGTTTACTAGTGTACCTGTTGTTCGAATTCGAGCAATTGCTAAGTATTACAGGTGTTATTTTAAAACGAATGACAGTCATAATTTCTGATGACTTAAATATATTCGACTCAAAGATTATGGAAATATTCAGGTGAACATTTCATTTCAACCAAGTCAGTAAATGTTTGTAGCTAACTCCTCGTTCCCACCACCACTCCTGGCTTAAGTCTGGGACTTATTAGCCAGGCCAATTCCCGTGAAAATCTTCTTTCTTTTTAGGCTTCAGCCACTTTCAATCCTCGTCCAGACACATTATGTGTCCAAAAGCCTAACAGCATGACTCCCTTACTCATATCACCCTGAGCGACAGGGATCATTGAGATTCGCTCTAACCTTTCCTCTCCCCTTCATGGGCTAGTTTTCATTCCTTTTCTTTCTTTTTATCCTATTTCCCTAGCTACTTATATAAACGTGTTCTTTTATTTGCTTCATTGCCACTCGTCATGTTTTATTTTCTCATCTATACCTAGACCTTTCTTTTCTAAGACTTATTCCTGTTTTCTCCTATTTGTATCCTGAAGTGAACAATTTATAAATACGTGACTCGTGGTTTTTATTTCTCCACATCTACATCATTGAGATTCGCTCTAACCTTTCCTCTCCCCTTCATGGGCTAGTTTTCATTCCTTTTCTTTCTTTTTATCCTATTTCCCTAGCTACTTATATAAACGTGTTCTTTTATTTGCTTCATTGCCACTCATCATGTTTTATTTTCTCATCTATACCTAGACCTTTCTTTTCTAAGACTTATTCCTGTTTTCTCCTTTTTGTATCCTGAAGTGAACAATTTATAAATACGTGACTCGTGGTTTTTATTTCTACACATCTACATACTTCCTCTTCCACCAGGTGAAACCTCCACAAATTCGCCTTAAAACTTTCCTTGTCCTGTGACAAACTGAGTTCATAATGGCCCATCTCCCAATCTTGTTCCAGTCTCTTTCTGTTGTAGGTATATATCCAAACGTTTACCTTTAAAACGTTAACATAAATCACTCTGCTCCCAATGCATTTGCCACTCATCTAATATCTCCTCTCTTCTGTTTCCGATGTAGTCCTACCTGCCTCCTTGTCTTCCATAATCAACAGATTATGCAGCAATTATCCAACGGTCCTAAATTGAATGTGAAATCTTCAGGCGGCTGTTGGTTATCATCGACAATAGTATTATTTGTATTTTGTTCGCGTCTACCAGTTAAAGTTTGTCGGCCTCCTCCTATTGGCTGTCCTGGTCGACGTCTTGTAGTCTCCATTATGTCAAACGTTTTTTTGGTTGTTTTGATTTTGTGCAAATAAATACTGGTTTAAAACAGTGAAACATCAATCTTTTCAACTAGGCTAATCTAATAAATCCTTATATAGCATATGTCTCCAACTTTAGTATAACCAGCTGTTTCAAATATTAGTGTCAATTTTAAAGTACTCATCTGTTCAAATGTAAACAAACATTTTCTCCCTAAGAATAACATAGGAACTTTGAAGGCCACTGGGGCAGAGCCCTGATGGAATTTCAAAGTTTTTTTTGTTTGATGGCAAAACTACATGCTAAGATCTTTCTAATGACACCTTGTACATGGTGATCGGTAGCACCATCTCTCCAAAACAATTATGACAAAAATATGCCTAGCGTATTAAATATATAGATTATATTTTACTAGGCTATTCCCAGATAAATACTCTACTTAAAAAAAATATTTAATAGTGCACACTATGGTTCTACAAAAAATGAAAAATACTTTATTAATATTTTAGTGAAAAATAAAGTATTTTTCATTTATTGTAGAACCATAGTATGCACTATTAAATATTTTTTTAAGTAGAGTATTCATATGGGAATAGTAAAATATAATAAACATTATCATTTAAAGATAGGCCTAAAATTAATATGAAAAAAGAATAAAAAATATGAAAAGGGGAAAGTTTATTCAAAGTAGCCCCCATGTTCAAAGGTTGACGGCAACTCTGTTAACTTGAATACTGTAATGTTAAGTTTATTTGCTAGATTTAGTTTATATTATAGCAAAACATGTCATATAAAATTTGAATATATAGGCAGATCTTTTTAATTCTAATCATATAATTATTTGACTCTTATTTCATGATACATTTCGGTTAGTACCTACTTACACGTTGTATGCGCCAAAATGCTTGGAAACAGTGAACCATAGTCAAGTATTTGTATCATAACTGCTGATCCCATTATCATCCCACTTTGAAATTTTTATAGTGTACGTGTACCTACTTACTAGATTACATTCTTTAACATATATATGTAATTTTCAAATTTTTCAAAAATCACTAGGCCTATCTTAATTTTTTTTTTAAACAGGCTATTTTGAAATTTAAAAAAAAAATTAATTTTTACCAAGTAGGTTGAGTTTGGTATCAGAAAGGCATTTGAATCCTCTTTAAAATGAGCCATTGTACAACTTGATGGGACCAATAGAACTCATCCTAGACAATATTTTAGATTTGCGCGCACGGTAAAAAAAATGTCATCAAAATCTAAGATGGTCAGGTTGAAAGCCTAGTTGATTTGATATGGAATGACCCTAACATTTAAACTATAAGTAAGTGTTGTACATAATTCTTTTCAGCATAAAATTGTGCTTCTTTTATATGTAATATGAAGTCCCTATGTAATGTCAGTCTTGAAGTGCAATATATGTCACCTAAGATTAAAAATACCTGGTAGGGTCTATCGTGTTTGTCATTAAAATTGTCCTTGATCTAGGCTATACAGAATACAAAAGGATATATAATATGTTGGTGTTATTGGTAATAAATAACTTAAGTTATAAATTATATGTTACTAAATATAACGCAAAACTGCCCTAAAACCCATAGCGTTTTGGACAAAAATGGTCAGCAGATCTAGGGTTAACCCATTGGGGAAGGAATTAATCCGCTACCAGCAGCACCCTCTGGCGGCAATTAATTTTACCGAATTTGTAGACTTTAACTCTAACTGCTATAGAAAGAAAACCTTAAGTAATAAATTAATAATTATTTCACCGTTTTGTTCACAGTAAAATTGTCTACAGAAAAGTGATAATTGGATAGTCAAAGTTCTAAACAAAAAAAAATATATATATATAAAGATTATAAAAATAAAAATTTTAAAAACAATATTTTGAAAGAAAACTTGATAAGGCCTATACAAATTCCAAGATTAATCCAGACACCAAATAACACTACGATTATAAAGGTCAATCGATTCCCTACGTAGAAAAATCAAAAGTTGTGTACTTTTATAAGTAGTAACATTTTTAAAAAATTGTTTGTTTACCTTACCACAGCTGATTTTTGGTGATATGTGGTTACCATGGCAACACAAAATTGTTTGTTATTCGCTAAAATAAATGTGTAAATACGCAAATCAAGAAGCAAGATATTTATAAACATTATAATAGTAAGAAGAAACAAAAAGGGCGAAAAATAATAATAACTAAATAAAAAATGGCGGTGACACGAGCGGCTCTCGTAAGACGGCATCCGGGCCTGCAGCGGCCGTACGAGTAACGCTCGTAAGTCGGCGCCAATGGGTTAATAACCTTGTTTATTATGAAGCCAAGCCTACTTTAACTTAATTCATTGGTACCTATATTCCTAAGTAACTTAGCCTATCCCCAAAAAACACCTATCAGGACAATCGAGTCCTGAGTTTGTCGATGGTCCCCTGTATGTAGTCTAAGTTACTGCACTAAAACCAGTCTACTTAACATAAAACCTCAAATAATGCCTAATGCTTTTGTGAATGAATGTGAGGTTAAGATTTATCATTCGTATTAATGACTTTTTTACATCGGTGACTCTGCAGCACAACAGCTTAAAAAAGCTACCTATCTGAATTACCCTACTGAAGTCATCAGTTGCTAGAAAAATAAAGACTAACTCATAGGCCTAAGAGAGTGAAATTGAGTAAAACGTGAAATTCACTAGGCCTAGCCTACTTTTGTTTTTAACCATAAAAGGCCATCCTTCTAATCCCTCTTGCTCACTCAATTCATGTAAACAATAACAATGACGGAATTAGTAAAATTTGAAATCGATGGCGATAGATCACTAAAAATAAGTGAATAGCCTAAGTGCTCACGAACGCATAACTTAATGATGTTTCTTGATCAATTTCAATGTCAGGCTCTACTTGAAACAGCCATGGTGTTTTAGGCTAAAAGTTAACTAGTACTTACGGTCTGAGAAGGGTCGATGTCAACTTGAAAGGTTTGCTGTTGAAGATTTTTAAGTGTGATCAGCATTATTTACAGTTTTACAAAATACTTTAAGCAGTAATAAAACAAAAAGAAGGGTCGATTTTGAACTTTCGACAGTGATAAAGCAGTTAACAGAGCGACATTTTCCGACTCAACGAAACGACTCAACTTTGTTTTTGTTCACCAGTGCCTTTACAATATTGTAGAAAAGTATTAATGTTTCTAGCTCCTATATGTATGAGTTCTTAGGTACACAATAATTAATAATTACACTTCGGGTTGTAATATTTTCACACAAACATTTAAATGATTATCTACAGGACTAAAGTGCTCATTAGTTAACTTAATGCGGTTTACTACTGTATTATGAATTAAGATCTCTTTCAAGTATCACCATTGATTATACTATTTTTCTGGATTTTATTTGGTCCTAGGCGGACGCCAGCGCAGATGTTGATTAGCCTATGACGCTAGATACGAGCACGGAATTGTTTTTCACGTTAATTCAGGCTAGGGCTAGACCCGGTGGGGCACATGGAAGATTTCTCAGGTACCGTTTGACGTCACTAACTGCTGCGTCTGAAGAAACAGACAATTTTATAAACTGTCATAACCTAACCAAACTAACCAAACGTGCCGATAATGGAAAAATCGAATAAAGGTTTACTAATCTAAAAAATAGTTTTGTTCATACTGTAAAATGAAATTATAAATGCCTAAAATTGAATTTTATAATTTTTTAATTATAAAATTAAACTGTCATAACCTAACCAAACTTGCTGATATGAAAAAATTGTTGTCAAAAAGTCAATGCTACCAGCGGGATTCAAACCCAATACAATAGGATTATCAGCCCAAACACGCTATCCACTACACCACCGAGGTCGATAGCTCATACCGTATCGTTGCGGTATTGGTGTTCCCTCAAAGTGACATCAGCAGTTAGTGACGTCAAACGGCACCAGAGAAATCATCCGTGTGCCGTTTCGGGGCTAGACCATGGGCTAGACCACAGAAAACGTACTAATATAGTACGTTTTCTGTGGCTAGACCTAGGTAAAAATATCCATTGGTAAGATCTATTCAATCCAAAGACTACCCCGGCTGCCTTTGAAACAGAAAGAGGAAATACGTTTTCCCACACTCACACCCCCACTTGGAACTGCGTACGCCATATATGTGGGAAAATTAATCTGCAATATGCTATGCTGTAAATTAGAACATCACAATTTGCAAACCTAGAAAATTTCTGGAGGAGAAAGATTCCTGAATTAATTTGTCTACACACGGAGGGGGGGATGTATTAAACTGGGTTTCCACGAATAACTACTTTGTAACCAAATTAAAACCCAAAATATTATCATTAGCACCTCTCCAAATCTAAGATTGGGGTGGTTTAGTCAAGCTATTATAAGTATTCGTATTGATTCCAAATTGCCTTGACATGTTCACATCATGACATCAACGACCTTTCACGGGTTCACGGGTCAGACATCTATCTTGGAAACTTATAGAATCTGTGTCAGATGAACATCTCAGAAGTCAGAATGACCTAAGTTACATTTGGTTTAATACAATCTCATTGAGTGGAGCGAGCGGACCGAACGAATAGAGGATACATATTTATTTATTTATTTATTTATTCATACAGTAAACACCATTTTTACAATCAATGAGTGGCATAAGATAAATATTTATAAATATATACAGGGTGAGTTCTACTTTTTTATACATTTCTTAAGATATCAACTCCGAACCACGTCAGATCACTGTAGAGTAGCAAGTACTTCATTTTGGTTGGGTTTAAATTTTTGGCCGCCATCTTGGATCCACCATATTGGATACAAAGTTATTTTTTCAAATGTAAAGGTAGGGTTGTGACCCACCGTTTCAAACAAGACTTTTACGCTGAATACGATGCTGCAATTCGTTTAAAAAAAATGTTGATCCATTCTAAAGTTATGAGAACTTTTTATAACTTTATTTGTAGTCCATTATAACATTGTGCATTTACAAACTAAGGCCATAATCTCAAAATAGTGCAAGATAAAGATAAGTGGACACCACCATTCATATTTGACCTATTTTCACTCGGTGTTATGACGGATGTATTTTTTCAGCCACCATCTTGGATCCGCCATTTTGAAATGTGATAAATTATTTTCAACGTGAAGGTGGTGTTGTGACCCATAATTTTGAACTATCTTTTTATGCTGAATTCAATGCCGCAATCCGTTTTTCATTGTCATATTTGGTCTTTGAAATATTGACATTTTAAATAAAAATAATTGTAATATTTTATCAAGAAAGCTTGATAACAAAAAACGGATAAAATAATTGATCACATTTCAAAATGGCGGATCCAAGATGGCGGTTGAAAAAATACATCCGTCATAACCGAGTGAAAATAGGTCAACAATGAATGGTGTACACTTATCTTTATCTTGCACTATTTTGATATTATGGCCTTAGTTTGTAAATGCACAATGTTATAATGGACTAAAAATAAAGTTATAAAAAGTTCTCACAACTTTAGAATGGATCAACATTTTTTAAAACGGATTGCAGCATCGTATTCAGCGTAAAAGTCTTGTGTGAAACGGTGGGTCACAACCCTACCTTTACATTTGAAAAAATAACTTTGTATCCAATATGGCGGATCCAAGATGGTGGCCAAAAATTTAAACCCAATCAAAATGAAGTACTTGCTACTCTACAATGATCTGACGTGGTTCGGAGTTGATATCTTAAGAAATGTATAAAAAAAGTAGGGGGGGGACTCATTTAAAACTCACCCTGTATAAGCCAGATTCAGATTAATCTTGCTAGACAATAAAAAAGATTGGTAACATGAAAAAAGACATAAACAGGATTGTACCAAAAATGCGTTGACAAAGATTTGATCCATACATATTACAAATCCTAGTTAACATGTATAAACATTTTTAGAAAAATAACGATAACCAAATCTAGATAACAATTGATTGATGATATCGTAGAAAGGATTGTCTAAAAGCCAAGCAGATTGAAGATTTTGGGTGTGCACCCTCCCACCCAGCACACTTTATCCCAGGGACATTCCATATAGTAGGTCCCATGTCCTGAGAATATCTCAGGATATGTACGCCAGCCTCAGGATATCCCTAAAATCCCGGGACGAGTACGAAACCAATAGGATCCTACAAATATACCGTATGTGCCGGGATTTATAGGTTAACCTCAGGATATCCTGTAAAGTCCTGTGATATGTACGAATGCCATAGGATGCCCCCATGACATGTACAAAATCCACTGGATATCCTGTAATGTCCCGGTAACAAATTGAGGAAAAAACTACTACAAATGAGTTCAGAGAAACTAGGTTTCTATCATTGTTGTGTGAAACGTGTATTTAATTCTAACTTTAAATTAATAAAATAATCCAATACTAATTTTAGTCATATAACAATCAATTATAAAAGTACTAATCTAATGGTAATTAAATAATCTATAAATACCAGTCCTCTCCAACTACCAGAAAAACTATTCAACTACTTGAAGCCTTAACAGATTAACTGAATCATATTATATAACTGTAGTATCAAAAATATTTTAAGTATTGCGACCATTGCAACTGTCGACTACTCTTTGACCTCTTGAAAACTCTCATAATCATCGAGCACGGATAGCTCAGAGGTAAGGTACCAGGTTCGAGACCCGTCTGGGCCAAAAAATTGTTTTTCGTTTTTTTTTTCAAAATTTGTGTTTATTAACTATTTAATCAACTTACTCAACTGATTATTAAGCTTTTCATACTAAATCTATATTATTTTGTGTTTCTTATGTTTAGGCCATAAATAGCCACATATAGCCATAGATAAACGACCTATAGGTGGCAATGCACTCAGGTTTGCTGATGACACTACCCTAATTTCTGTTGGTGACAATCCAGGAACGGCTTCAGAAAGAGCTGAAGTGATGTTTAGGGCAGCAAAAGATTGGTTTGAGACAAACAAATTAAAACTCAACCAAGACAAGACACAAAAAAATCCTGTGTTCACTTCAGTCAAACTTGGCTCAGGACGTTGATAGGGTAAATCTACTGGGCTTTACGATCGACCCTAAGCTGAGTTGGAAAGATCATGTGGATAACGTGGCAAAGAAATTATCAAGAGTAACACATCTTCTCAGGAAACTAACAAGACTAGTCGATAAAGCTTACCTAGTTGTGGTGTACCACGCATTATTCCATAGTCACGTCACTTACGGTCTTCAGCTATGGGGTCATGCATCTAATGTCTCCAGAATCCTTTAACTGCAGAAGAAAGCTCTGAGAATCATGACTGGCAGTGGGCGACAGGAGCATTGCAAGCCTATTTTTGTCGACTTGGGCATACTTACCATACACAGCAACTACATCCTTCAATGTGTCAGCTACCTACACTCCAATGTGCATACCTTCACCACCAGGCAGCAGGTGCATGCGCACAACACCAGGCGCAAAGACCACATTGATGTGCCCTATTGCAGGCTCAGTAGGACAAAGGATGCTTTCCCGGTCCTGGCCCTCAGACTGACCAATAAGTTGCCGGTTGCAGTTAGGGATTTAAACAAAAATCAGTTTCAAGCCAGGTTAAAGTGTTGGCTAAAAGCTAGGCCATATTACTCGCTTAAGGAGTTCTTTGAGGACGACCTCACGGGACTTTAAATCCACCGCCATTAAGTCTATTAATCCGACTAAATGGAAGTCTGTAAATATTGTAAATATTAGCTTTTATTTTTATAATTGAAATAGTTGACGCAGCCTAACCAGCTTAATGCTGGTATCAAGCCAAGGAGGAGGTAATAAGGTAATAAGGTAATAAGGCCTCATGGCCCAGACAGCACACTTTATCCCAGGGACATCCCATAGTAGGATCATATGTCCTGAGGACTACCACAGCCGCCTTTAGCTCTAGGCCGTGGCCTTACTCGTTAAAATATTGCTATTTAAATAGTAAATAAAAATGTGATTTAGGGAAATATTTTTGTGTAAATCCAATCAGGCAAATAGGAATTCCCTTATTCTGCAGGTTTGCTGTAGTGGGGATATTTTATCCCGTTTGATTAATTTATTGCAATCATAATGAGCTAATTTTTACATAATCATACATATGCATATAGAAAATTTAAGATACAGAAGGTGAGAAACATATGTTTTTGTTTACTGTTCAAAGTAGTCATAGAAGGCACTTGTGCAGCAGAACACAAAGACGTCATATCCCCTTCAAGTGTCAAATCGTTTCATTTTCTTGTAAAACCGAATTTATAGTGAGGAGAATTTAGTATTTTCTACTTTAAACGTTATTTAGTTCGTGTTTGTGTCACTTATTTGCGTGTCGAAAAATCAATATAGCCTCAATCTTAAATTACTTCATGATCTATTTTATACGGTAGACGTGGCGTAGCATTGTCCGGCGTAGGAATAATTACCTTTCGGGCAAAAAGAGGGTTAAATCGCTTTCTAGGTAAAGGATATGTCCGACCGCGAGAGTGGAGATGATCAACCCCAGGGTCAAAGTAAGCTTGATATTTACACTTATTCTCTAATTACTCACTTATTAAATATCTAAGCATCATTTTCTCACTGCTTAACGTTCAGGATATCCCTCCTCAGGCCTACTTTGACGTTTGTACATCTCCACAATAGAAGGGTACCAAGATGGCGATTATGATTTTCTGAATTTTAATCTGGATAAAATAATATATTGTATTGGAAATGGAGTTTCAAGTCGGCAATAATTTAGTTGTGGACTGTGTATAAATATCAACCGTATTTAGATTTAAATGGCGCTTGTAAGATTCCTGTGTGACTGATTTGTAGGTCTGTTACTGAATTGTCATATAATTGATCAAAATGAAGTAGGATTAAACTTATGTCTCGGCACCACTATTCTAAATAGAAACTTATGAACGTTCCCTCTAAAGTTTTAAGACCCTTATGACTTGTTGATAGCAATCATTAGCTGTATCCAAGTAGACAGAGTAGAATTATTCTAATCATAAATCACTCAATTGTTACTTGACATCCAAGGCCTATCACAGTCAAGGATTTGTCAATCTGTTGAGATGTCCAAAATGGATTAAGGATACTTTCTTGAAAGCTCGTTGCTTTCAGTGTTTTAATATAAACAGGTCACCACTGAGAGATATTAATAGGCTAATGGAGCTTTAATACATCAATATTTAGTCAGGATTTCTCAACAGCTGGTCTTTTAAATTGAGCCTAACTTGACTGTTGGTTTTTTTTGCAATCTTGAAATGTTTAGGCGCAGGACCTACTAAAAAATCTGAAACCAAACTTAAAGCAAACTAAAGTGTTTGGAAAATTTTTTTTAAAGTCCATGTGAAAGTTAAGCGTTGCCTAACTTATGAGAAATGATATCATTTTGTAGACGCCTGAAGTCCTGAACAATTGTATGCCGATTTTCTTGCCTGTTAGAAATATAGGTACCGGTAAGTTACATAATAAAGTAGGGTAGGATTTAACTTACCTTTCTTAACTTGTGAATACCTCAAAGTAAGTTACCGTATCCTAGTTTGGGTGGTCGAGTGGTTAAACTTACTTAAGTTATGTTACTTTGTGCTGGTCTTTAAATTTGAAGTTTCGCTGGTTCAATTCCAAGCCTGATTCCGGACCCAGATGCCATTTTTCATTGGACTATCAATTAATGAAATAGAAATAACTTAGGCCTAATGTACTTATAGATAACAGTAGGCTAAGTTTGGTCAAGTTGATACTTAAGTGTCCAAAACCACAGCTGCACTGTTTCCTAAGAAACTGATTTAATGCTAATCGCATAACTGATTGTCATCCAAGGCCTGCTACTTAAAATTTAATACAAATTAGGGCCTAGTTCATTTTATCAAAGCCATAGAATAAATAAGTTTAATTCAGCCCTTAAATGAAAACATCAATTAAGTTATCAATCATTGAGATGGGTATGCTACAGATATCCCAAGAACAAAACAACCTGCGCAGAAACGAAAAGATCACGTGGTTCGCGCAGGTAGGGTGGCGTAGCATTCAAACCTGCGCGGCTCGAAATGGCCCAGGGTTCTTTTGTTTCTGGTATTACTATAGGTGCATATTTCAACCCAAATATGAGTGAAGAATGAGTGTAGAATGGTGTGAAGGGATCCTGTGTAGCTTTGTAACAACAATCCAGCTGTTTTCTTAGCCAGGATCATTTTATTTCTCAAGAGTAATTTTAAAGCCCAATGATCAGGAACAGCTGGGTCCATTCTCATACCATAAAAAAATATACCCTGGAGGTTATTACGTGGACAAATCCATTGCAGATGGTGACTTCTGATATTTTCTATTAAGTTAGCCTATATGAGTTTTTTCTTAGCAATGAATGTACCCTTTAACTGTTCACAGTAGCTTAAGTAAGTTAAATCTTAATTTTTTTTCATTTTGATTAGGTATAATACAAGACTGATTTACAGTAGACTCCCTCTTATCTGGTACCTTTTTAACCGGACTAACCTTGGCTGAAGTAAGTTAACATTTCTTTAACCGGACTATTTTTACCAGCACATTGCTTTAACTGGACTGGATCGGCAGGAAATGGGCGGTAGGCCTACAGAAAAGACTTTTCTACCGGGAAAGGTTTGAGACCAGTTAAGTTATTGTGTGTCTAAATACGATTCTCTCCATAATTTAACATACGGTATAAGTTATATTTGAGTTAGTTTCGAGTGATTCAGCCTATGGCATGTGAGGAAGGGGCAGCAAAATCAAACAACAAGTAGGCTAATAAGAGGGGGAGGGGGACAGACGCTTTTGACGACTTGTTTCTTGGAATCCAGTCCCTAGAAAACTCAACAAATAACTCAATATCATGAATTGTAATGGTAGTTTGTTTGTTAAAGGTTTGAAAAGCCGGTACTTTCTGTTAAAGAGAACAATCATTCATAATCGATGATTTTTTGTTGTATTTTTTTTCCTTTACGATCCATATTCCTTCTGTTTTAATATCTTCAAACGTAATAGCCTACAAATTGACAACAACTAGTCTTGTTTGGGCAAAAATATATGTAGGCTTATGGATTAAGAAATTAAACTGTTCTAAACTAAACTAACATAACTAACCAGACTTGCTTACAATTTTGAAATTCCGTTCGATAACAGAAAAGATATGTTAAATGTCTTTTTGCTCATTACAAACAACAGGTGAAATGGGAGTTTATGGACGATTGGGCACGGTTTTAGGTGTTAAAAATGGCTTTAGAAAATCACCAAACGGCTTTGAAAATTCCAAATTTTCCCGGCGGAGGAGCCCCGGACCCCCCTGCTTTGTCAGGGGGTGCTCCCCCCAAGCCCCCCCTGACAAGGTCCTAGAACCGCCACTGGATTTGCCATCAAGGATCGGCATATATTCATCTATAATCCCACCTGGTTAATTTGTTAACGGAATTTGATCTCCATGTATTTCTTAAGGGAGTTAAATTGGTTTCTCTTTGCCAAGTTCGTTTGGCTCTTCTACCCAACCGATTTTCATGATTAAGGTCTCAAATTGAAGGTACCTATGCACACACAGATTTGCCATCAAGGACTCAAAAATTTGGAATTTTCAAAGCCGTTTGGTGACTTTCTAAAGCCATTTTTAACACCTTAAACCGTGCCCAATCGTCCATAAACTCCCATTTCACCTGTTTTTTGTCATGAGCAAATAGACATTTAGCCTAACAAATTAAACTATGACGATTGCATTCATGAATTTCAAAACACACTGTAGTCTACGGCCATATCCTCCTAAAAGCCGTTAGGCGACTTTCTACAGCCAGTTTTAACGTCTAGAACTGTGTGCAAAACCTCCCATTTACACATTTATTTGTCATGAATAAGTAGACATTTTTAAAACTAACCATGACGATTACATTCATAAATCTCAAAACATATTGTAGGCTACGGCCATATCCTGCTATAAAAACTGTTTACTAACTTTCTAAAGCCATTATTAATGTCTATATCTGTGTCCAACCGTCCAAAAACTTCTCATTTCACCTGTTATTTGTCTTTGTCATGAGCAAGTAGACATTTTAAACTCAAACTATGGCGAACTTGCATTCATGAATTTCACAACAAAGACCTACTGTAGACTACGAATCCATCTCCTAAAAGCCGTTTAGTGACTTTATAAAGCCATTTCTACTGGCTAGAACTGTGCCAAATTGTCCTAAAACCTCCCATTTCACCTGTTATATGTCATGCAAGCAAGTAGACACTTTTTTTAACTTTACGTTTTTCTCCATTTCATAGATATGTCACAATATGTATTGTATCGAATTCAGTAATGGCATTAACTTTATAAACTTTAACACTAACACTAATGTTTATATAGTCAATGGTAATAGGCCACTCTGGTGCTACCGCTGATGGCTGATTGATACCTGTGTAAAGTTAGTGGCTAGCAGACAATTTGACAACTAACTGTGGAACATCAGGAAATCAGCTGTTTCCCCGTCCTCACTCGCGCGCTCAGTGCTTGCCTTTGCCCTAGCATGTCAACAGCTGACTGCTGTAAAAATTTGATGATGCGTACAACACTTTCCATAGCGTAGAATATTGTTTTATTTGTTGTGCTAGTGTCCACAAAGTTTTTCTATGTGGGACTTAATACTACTCCTGCCATCGCTTTTAAGTTTAATAAAAACTACATCAATGTCTTGTTTTATGAGGTTGCGTATTTTAAGGATGAAATGTACGTTTAAATTTATTTTTCCAGGGTCCAAGGGGGGGCTTTATAGCCCCTGTAGCCCCCCCCCCCTTGGAACCGCCACTGGTTAAATCTGTGCCTGCATACTTTCAATTTGAGACCTCGATCATGAAAATCTTTTAGGTAGAAGAGCCAAACGAACTCGGAAAAGAAAAACCAAATTTTTTAAATATATAAGATATTGTAATATTATATGTATAAAATGTAAAGAAGAAAATGACTTAGGCTTACGTTAGATTTAGTGTTTTGATAGGATTTTGTGTTTTCAAATAAGTTTGTTTCACTCTTTTATGGGTAGGCCTACATGATTTTATATTGTATTGGAAAAACTAATTAATTACAAAGTTATTTTCAGGGTTTGCTTGAAAAAATTCAAGTCAGTGATAAGTTAATGATTAGGCTATCACGTAAAAAATAGATGATTTTCAACTTAAACTCAGAGAAATAAAAATATAACTTATTGAATGAATGCATAAAAAATGCATTAATAAATGAGAATAATATGATTCATCTGGTATGGTTTGATTTATACATAACAAAACTAATTTTAAAATTTGCATAACGAAACGAGAATAGTCAAACATATTTTATGATAACCCAACCAAACCTAACCACCGCAGCACATGTTAAATAAGTGGCCTCCGTATAATACAAAGCTACCAAATATTCTAAAATAATTCTTTTTTTTTTCAGACAAATATCATGGTCAAGGAGGGGGGATGGATGCACCAGGGAGCTCAGATTTTGATTCTGGTAAGTAGAGATGGTCAAAATCCTAAAAAAATAGAATCTCGAATCCCTAAAATATTACAAATGGGCTTATGGTGATGAGCTTATAAATCAGACCTACGAGCGCTAGTGTTGTCGTGAGCTTGCTTATAACTGCAATCTACCTGGTAGGGCGATGGTGGCGTGATAGCTCAGATGGCAACGGCGTAGCACTGACGAGTGCAGCGTTGCGTGTTCACCAATAACATGACATAACACAAAAATAATAAAATCAGTAGAAAAAAATGTAACCCCTTTATTAAATGCGAATTCCTGTAAGTTTGTAATTTTTGCACTTTGGTACCATTATTTCAGGAGCTACTACAGTTATCTTGATGATTCTTTTTTGTTGTTTTGTAGGTAATTTTAAAATAAACAAATTTAACGGATTTTAAAATTTTGATTTAGAAAAAAAGGTTATTCTGTTCTATATATGCGGGTTTTTTAATAAATTTGTGTTCCAAAAGTTTGACATTGCACCCCTCAAACCCCACTGGGGCGGAGCCCTTTTATCAGATCTGCACCAAACTTTACACAAACCATCCTTGAATAATGCTTATAATGCCTGAAAGTGTCATTACAATCTGTCAAGCGGTTTTGGAGTCCATAGGGTATATACTTTAATACTTATTAAATGGCAACCAAACAAAGTAGGTACCTAACATACATACATACATACTTCCTCTTTTATAGATATAAATAGATTAATACTTTTATTGAGTGGAGTGAAGCAAAGCTCTTTGGGATCAACTTCAATGCAATCGTTAGGCCTATAACACTTAATCTCAATAACGGCTGAACAAATTCTAGCCAAACTTACCAAGGTTGTTTTGTCAAATGTTTGCTATTAGACATAACCAATTTCAATTTTCAATTTAATAATGTAAAGCAACTCAAAGTTTTAAAATTTTAACATTGGTCTTATGGGTTGCTATGATGGTTACAAAGTAACGACGTAGGCCCTAAATGTAAACAAAACAAAGAATCATAGACTATGTTAAAATTAATCCACGACCTAAACACAGTACAAAGGGAAGAATCGGATGATTACAACTACTGATTAAATACAACAGAGAAAGTCTTAGATTTACATTTAAGTCGCAATTTGGAAACGACAGTTTGATCGAATATGTACAGTCATAGATAAAACATACTTTCTTAGGTACATTAACAGATTTGATTTACCCTACGTTGCTAAATAAGGTTATAACAAATAATATTTTATCTTAAAAAATTCATCGGTGAATTACCTTCATGGATCCAACTCATAAATGGCTAACTTAAACTGGTCCACGACATAGGAAGTGGTGAAGGAAGTAGTAAAGGCGAGAAGTGCGGATTGTGGTAAATATTCATGGAGTGGCAGTTAGATAATTGTATCTAAAATAATATAATGCTATGGGAAGGGGGGAAACAAGTCCACAACATAGGAAGCTGTGAAGGAAGTAGTAAAGGCTGGCGATGCGGAGTGTGGGAAACATTTATGGCAGTTACATTATGTATCTGCAATACTAAAATGCTATGGGAAGGGAGAGAAACAGCTCCTATACGTAAGAAGTGGTGAAGGAAGTAGTAAAGGTGAACAGTCTGGAATGTGGGAACCGTCTGTGGCAGTTAGATAAATGTATCTGCAATCCTAAAATGTGATGGGAAGGGAGGGAATCAGGTCCACAACATTGGAGTTGGTAAAGGAAGTAGTAAAGGCTGGCAGTGCGGAGTGTGGGAACCGTTAGTGGCAGTTACATGTTTTATGGGAAGGGGGGAAACCAGTTCCACGACGTAGAAAGTGGTGAAGGAAGTAGTAAAGACTGGCAGTGCGGAGTGTGGGAACCGTTTGAGGCAGTTACATTAAGGTATCTTTAATACTATAAAGCTATGGGAAGGAAGGGAAACAGGTCCGCGACACAACGTAGGAAGTGCTGAAGGAAGTAGTAAAGGCTAGCAGTGCAGAGTGTGGAACATTTGTATTTTGTAATATATCTATATAAACAATTTTAATTTATTGTTTGATTAAAGATCATGAATCATGATTGCTCCGCTTAACTGGCTTTCATTGCTATGAAAGCAATCCTAGTATACAATACTCAGCACAGTTTACAATGAGGATGTTGGAAAGACCTCGCTGTTTATATATATACATATTGGCCTGGTGCAAGGCTCCTTGCAAACAAGCAAACAAAATTCTAAATCAACAAAAATAAACTTAATTTACCCGATGTAAAACTCCTAAAGGGTTGATGTCATAGAGCTTCGACTATCCGATCTTCGGGTGTATGCTCTTTGCCTAGCAACGATAAACTCATGTATTTGCTACACTCACGTCTTATTGCGAACAGAAATCCGTGGCTAAGTAAACAAGTATGGCTGTAAACATTTACTGTTTTGGTTGTACTTTTTTGTTTATTTTTATTTATAATGGAAATCAGGCTATATGGTTTCTTAGTGCTTAAGAACAGCTTAATGATATCAACATGTCAACGCTTAGCGCTTAATTATATGTTTGTGTAATAAGTTTTACTAGTGTCCCTGTTGCTCGAATTCGAGCAATTGCTATGTATTACAGGCGTTATTTTAAAATGAATAAGTCATAATTTCTGATCACTTTAAAAGATTCGACTCAAAGATTTTGGAAATACTCATGATGTACATAACAGATCGATATCTATATAATTAATACGCTACATGAAACTTTGTCGGTTGAACTCTTCCGCCATTTCTTTGCCGATTTTATCCATTGACGTCTCATTGGAAAGAGCGTGTTGCGTAGATTTGCAAACTGGCCTTACATTTTTGAAAAAGTCCCTTGGGCTCTGCCCCAGTGGCTTTGAAAGTTCCCATGTTATCCTTATGAAGAACATAATTGTTTACATTTTGATCAGCTGTATAATTTAATTGCTGTTATTTATCTTTCAATTCATTGAAACGCATTGAGTACATTTATTTACTATTTCAGTTTGTGTAAACATAACCTCCAAGACGGATCGCGTTATTATGGTTGTATCTTAAATTTGCGTATTTATTGTTGTTTTTTGTCGCTATGGCGGATCGTGTTAGCATGACTGTAACTTAAATTTGTGCATTTATCGTTGTTTTGTGTAGCTATAATTTGTTTATTTGTTGTTTTTTTTCTTCTTTTAAATGCTTTCGACGTGATGACAACGAAACATAGACAGGAGGCGTAATCGTGATAATGACCGCAGCTACAGAACAGTGGAGCGGGACAGTCAGCACCTGACCCTGGACAATCTCAACTATTAGGTTACAAATGTGTCCTAACACTACCCCAAAACGACTTTTCGTTCTCAATTGGCCCTCTATCAATGACCTGTGTTGCCTGTACAGCGAGGCAATTTGAGAAGGAGAAAACCAGCCGGAATGTTTTAGGTTTATCAATAACGAAGATAAACATGGACAACTTTATATGGCTATAAGTCAGGAAATGTTTGTAGAAAACATTAAAAAGCAATACCAGGTTATGAAATATGATACAATATTTACAGGAAATGTTAATTACTGTTATATACATCGTGAGTATCTCCATGAGTTACACACCGGTAATCTTTGAGTTGACTCTTTAAACTCATTGTAAATATGACTGTTATTCGTTTTGAAATAACTCCTGTAATACTTTGCAATTGCTCGAATTCGAGCAACATGTACATAGTAATCAAAATTTCTTGTAAATATCTTATCATTTTTCAAAAGCTGATCTTGTTTTCTACAAATAGCCTTACTCCGCATTAGGTTGTCCGTAATAACGATGATAAACTAAAAAAAAACATTATTTCTATTTCTTCTCTTTGGTGGTGTTTTATGACTTTCCTATGTTTCCATAGTTTGCAAATTGGCTCTTTCAATGATTACTAAGAAATGTAGCACAGTGTTAATTCAGTTTTATTTTTAGTATATCAATTTATCCAGGCTCTCTCGCTTTTTTCCATTGTAATATTTACGCCAACCCAGATTCAAATATAGGTCGGCAGCTTAGAAAGCGACCTCCTCCAGCATTGGTTTACCATTAGCGCGCAGGTCGTTTTCTAAGCGGCCGAACTATAGTAAACATTTCATTTCAACCAAGTCAGTAAATGTTTGTAGCAAACTGTTGGATTAGAAAACTTATTGACTGTTTAAAATTAACATCCTTCTTCTCACTTTTAATTTCTGACAACAGCTGGAGTTTCACAACAATTTTTGTTTCCCATGTTAATCTTATGGAGAAATACGAAACATTAAAGGGCCCCAGGGCCTCACTCTCTAATTATTTCCCTAAAAAGTAAAGTTTCCTGCACAACTTCACGTTACGCTCCTTCCAATGAGACCAAAAACATGTCAATCGGTTCAGTAGTTTCGGAGGAGTAATTGTCACAAAAATCCTGCTTGCGTATTAAATAAGTACTAGTGAACCTGTGCGGCTCAATGCGCCGCAAAATAACATATGAATTTAGAAAACAAATTCATCGTATCATATATTGACTCGACGTCGAAAATTAACAATAATAATGAAGCCTTGGAAGGGAAGCTGTCCAGCCATTTTCTAGCTGTATGTGTATTATATTTAGTAAATTAATAAGTGTTCAAATTCAAGTATGTTATAGGCAGCGAGCAAGGTTATAGGGTAGTTATGTTTTAAAGATTTTATAACACATTTAACAAAACATTTTATCATATCAAACCAATAGGCCTATGTAGCATATTTTGAGGGTCATAAAAATGCTGCTTGAAGAAAACACAATTTTAAAAATAAACACTAAAAAAATATTTTTATCACAAAAGCACTTCCATGAATACTACGATTTTAGCCTTAAAGTTACCTTCAGGAAGATTACCTTGGTCAGAGTTTTCGGTAACGAATATGCTTATCCTATTAATAGATGTAGCCTACTTAAAACAACATATAATATAGTTGCTCATGATTGAAATTGGTCTGGGTAAGAACAGCGCTGCAAATGCCAAAGGTAACAGAAATTAGCATCTTTCCATTTTAA